GCATCCTTCTGGCCACCGCGAAACATGTGTACATGACATGTGTATACCTGAGCCTTTCGAACCGTTTAGTCAATCTTGGAAGCAGGCCCGCTCGGATTGTGCAGGCAGACTCGCTTGCTCTAAGTAGGTCACGCAATGAAACCTGAGAGGATCCAGATCCCCCAAACCATTTTACAATAATAGTCAAGAAAGCGAATGGCGTATGCACGTTTGTGTCTCATGGATATATTCAGGAGAAGCAACAGTATCAAAGGAATTCCGAAGCATTCTAGCATTCGGAAGCTCTTTGGACTCAAGGCCAAAGAAGATCGTGGTCTACTCGGGGATCCGGCCATGGAGTGCAGGGCCCAGCGGACTTGTCGAGTCAGGCTTTCAGCAAGGTAAGCTTGAAGACACACGCAAGAATGGTTTGACGCTACTCACTCGGCATGGCATGCTCATTTGCACAGCTGAAGTAAATGAAGTCATGTCCAAAGATCCTAGCCTTTTCTCATATCTTTCGAAAGCTTTCATGTCCAGGCCAAATTGCATGGCCATGTTAAGAAGTCCCAAACATGCAGCTTCGCCACCAAATAGAAAGACGTTGGACTCAAACACAATGACCCTTCAAGAAGATTTGATTTACTCACATAAAATGCAAGTGCATACACTGAGCAAAGCTCGCAACCCCCGGTCAAAACCGCAGTGGTGTCTAAGGCCTGACGAAGGCCGACACTGCTCCCAGAACCTATTAAAATAAAGATTCACCCCTGTTCAGATTCAAGGTCGACCCAGCCAGCCACGCATTTCGCCAGCTGCCACCTGAAAGGAATGTATACTATTCTGGATTCGTGAGCTAGCTAGTTTGATACGAGATAGTCAGAGACTGGGTCACCACGCGCGTCAGCAACACCTCCGAATTTTTGCCACGCCACACTGACTCCTTGCTTCTTGTTGACCTGGACGCTTGTTGAAGAGCCTTTGCAAATTTGGGTTTGGATTCTTTAACAGAAATTTGAGGACCCAACTGTGAGGTTTGTTTCCCAATAGCGGTTAATGCCTTCAATCCGTTCCACGGGCACTGGAGAGATATAGAATGCACCCTTGTTGGAGCGGGCTTGCACAAGCCTCGCATGAAAGATTTCTGAAACATGCTCAACTTCCATGCATATGTCCAGAACAGACTTGGGCCCCTACAAAACTCCAATGTTCGAAAGGTTTCCATGCTTCGGAAAGTTGCAGCTGGAAGGCGGTGACACGGTGAATGACCTTGACAGTGTTGATCGAATGTTTGTGCACGAATATGTGAGGTGCATTATTTAGTGCACAGGCACGTGAGGCACATGCATGCTCTGCACTAGAATTAGCTAGCTGGTGATATGTCTCGTCTCTTAAACGGTGCGACTGTGTGAGAAATTTCCCAAGGCCAAAGCTTTTGGCCTTCAAAGTTGTCTGGCACAACGAGGCTCGGATCATGCTCGGCCACATGTCGAATGCGCTCAAGGTTGTTCTCCTAAATGGAGACTGAATGAACTGTGGTTTGAATGTGTGTTGCATAATACCGCATAAACAAAAGAAACCAATTTGTACTAACAGCAATGCACACGGGGATCCTTGGATGCCTCTTCAGCTTCAGCATTTGGTGGTTCTTCTGTTTTGATACGTTCAACGATTACTGGCGCTGCAGATTGAGATTTACGCTTTCGCCTTTTCTTGCCAGACTCGTTAGTGTACTCAGCCGGCTCTGCGGGGGCTGCAGGGGCCATTTCCTCTTGGAAATCCTGCTTTGACTGACCCGCTTTCAGATTTTTGCTCGAGTGTTTTCTCTTCAAAATGCTTCTTTTGCGGGACATCCGTTGTCGAGGGCTCGTGGCATCATCTGCAGGTGTTTCCGGTGCGACTTTGGGTTGAGCTTGCTGCTCTTCCCTGGGATTGCTCTCAGTGCTGCTTTTTCCACGTCCCTTACCCTTACCCTTACCCCTTCCTTTGCCCCTTCCTCTTCCCCTGCCCCTCCCGCGTGCTTTCGCTTTGGATTCTTCATACTCCTCTCGCTCCGCTTGGCGGAGGTAGACCTTATCAGGATCTTCACCCTCTTCCACCTCCTCCTGAACGACCTTGCGAAGTGTTTTCTGCGCCTGCTCAGCCAAGGCAAAACAACATGCTACAATGCGAGTACTAGTACTGCAACACAAGTGTGGCAAAGAGGAGAAGAACAACCATATAGGGCTGGGCCTGCCTTCAACAAATCTTTTGTGCTGGTATTGTTGTCCCCCTTCTCAAGCTGCTGCTCTAGACTTACAACAGCACTTTCCATCACTGTGGTCAAGGCAGCAGGGATTGGTGGCAATTGTGTCAACGGAATTCTTTCCTGGCATCACTACCCGGGAGAAGGCAAACTCGATGTCAATTAAACTACACGATCATCGATCATGATTCATAAACAGGATGGCGTGACCTTTCCGGAACCTTTCTGTGGGTCCCTCTCGTCCTCTGAATCCATGATTTCCTCTACTGCTTTGGATTTGTCTTTAGATGATCCAGGCTGAGGGGAGTTAGAGCCCTCACCATCGGACTGGGTGGGCTGGAGCTGCTCGTCATCTTCACCATTCGGGCTGCTACTCTCAAGAACGTCAGCTTGATGTAAATTGACATTCACTGCAATGTCGACGTCATCTTCTTCATCATCTACCGTTTCATCACATGTTGGGATTTCTTCTTCCGCTTCATCTTCCAAGTCCTTCTCACACCCAGCAGCTTCTGAGGGCTCAGCAGCATCAAACGGTGCCTGACTGTCGTCCATCAGCTGGGTGTCCATGACCTGGGTGTCCATCACCTGGGTCTCCATGTTGTCGATGCTCTTGGCAGCCTCGCGGTTGTCGATGCTCACGGACAGGAAACCCAAACCCTAATTGGGGCCTTGTTGAACTTCTCATCGAGAGACTTTCCACGCCCACGAGTTGGTTTTTTCTTGCCATTGGGCAAGAGCATGTCAGCTTCCTAGAAAGATTGTGCATCCCATGGCACACTTTGTTTGACGCCTTTGCGAATGAGTTTGCTCGTCAGTCCTGAAGAGCATTCCGGATCACCTCTTTGATCGCGTTCATTTCGTCATGGCTTTTCCTGCCAGCACCCATGCGTAGTATACCTCCCCCGTTTTCTTGTTAATAATTCCTAGACCCAAACAGTTATCAATCCTGCTTTGAGTACAATCATGACAGAAGACTTGAATATATTAAGGTGTTGTTTTTTTCAAATCAACGTTCCTGTCAAGAACCTACCTGGCAGTCCACAGTGATAAGATGACATTTGGCGCCTTGTTCCACGATTTCTCTGGAATCGACTCATGCAGTACCCTGCCAGGGCCCGATGCAAATCGCCTTCAATCTCGCACCAAGCCTTGGACAAAGAAGGCGTGCAGATGTGGGTCCCAAGATCGGGTGAGAATAGTGGGCTCCAGGTTTCTGGCTGCAAGTTGGTATGTTTCTTCGAACCGGTTGAGCTTGAACGTTTGATTGGCCCAATGAAGGGCTTCCTGCAAAGGATCGATCATGATTGATCTATCCAAAACAGTTTAAATGTTCAATCAACATATTTTCTGAAGAGATGTTAACTCCAGCCTGAACTTCAATTGATTTGGGTGGATTGGCGGCGAAGAGGGCGAGCCACTGGATGGCAAAGTCGGCATTTGCTTCAGCCTACGCATGCACTAGTCACCACAAGTGAAGTTTGTTCTAACAGGGGGTGTGCCTCTTTTTCTCCAATGATGTTCGAGTCCAGAATCAAGAACTTGAACTTGGGAACCTCTCACACGTACATGTGCAGATCTGAATCTGAAGGGAAGGACTAACTTGAATATAACTGCTACTGCTATAAGCTTCCCACCTTCTTGCGTTCGCTATCAGGGATTTTCAAGCGCTGGCGTAAAAGGGCACGTCTGTCCTTGATGTAGTCGGGCTGCTTCAACATGTCTCCATAAAGCTCCTATCCACTGCCAAAGTTGGTGGGCCAACCGGGATTTGCACATCTATTTTATAATATTTTATAGGTATCATGTCGGTGTTCTTTCTCTTGCAAGCTCCAAGAATCACCAGCCCCCAGTCCCTCCTTAAGAAGCTCGACCCTCACAGGATCCGCGCGAGCTGATGATGGCGACATTTGTACAGCTGCGCTTCTTTGACCAAACAAGCAAGTACAATGGGAAATAACGCCTAGCATGTGTGGTGACTTAAATTGCAGAAATCCTTTGGTGGACACTGATGCTCAGCCCTGAGCAAGAAAGACATCGGAATGAAGCTCTGGGGTGTGATTGAAACAAAAGCACAAACTGGTCAAAGAAGCAAAGAGCTAGCAGCATAGCTTAGCTTATCTTCCCTTGCAAGTGCCTCGTTGGGCTGGACAGCACTCTGTGTCAATGGCATTATCGTCGCTCTCCAAAAAATCCGTCGCACCTCATCGAAGGCAAACAGGTGGATATTGGTGGATGTTTTTTGGTGTTCTTCAGTGCCAGACTTTTGTTCAAAGATCTCTTCATCTGCAGCTGGCATCAAGGCCTCATACAATTAATTGTTCACAGTGTTGTTTCACTTATGCTGGCGCGCTCCTTTAAGCTACAGACACAGAAAGCACCACTGCGTTCGCTTCGGACCATTGCACCGGACGGGCGAAAGACCACAGTCCAAGAGAAAAACATTTAAACATTCTAGAAATTGTTGTTGCAAGTGTTCCTACTTGCAAATTGCATTTTCCTGGTAGCACACAACATGTTTTGCTTGAATATGGTAAAGCAAAGGCGATTCAATGTTGAGAATGCCTGGTGCAAGTGATCTTGACAAAAGCCGCATCAATCAGAGCAGACAGGAAGACAAGAAAAAGACGTTCGCTGCATTTAAAGGCGGTTTGTCAAAGGCTTTTAAAAGAAAGGCCGAGGAAGGCTAGGGTGTGGGTCCTTGGGTGATCCCAAAACTCCAACGGTGTCCACCGATCCGGGATCCACCAGTCCTCGTTCCTCACACTTTCGTGGCCTTCGAGGGTCTCCCAGAGCAGCAAAGCGCGCTGCCAGTGCTCTGAAGAGATGCAGGCAGTCAGGGCCGACAAGTAACCTGCGCGCACCAGTGCAAAAAAGCTGGTGAGATGGTAAACAGGAATGGAAACACACAAAACAAGTTTCTATAGAAGATGTCTTCCTTGAGCAAGGGTGGCCTCTCAGTTTCTATGCTATTATATATGAGAAGGTAGAGTCAAACCTACCGAAAATCCCTGGGCATCACTGGGGCCCAACACCTATACTTTCCTGTGTAGTGTCATTTGACCTCCTTGTAGGACAAGAGAATGGTGGGACCAGGATAGAACCCAAAACAGCAACAAATCACCACGAAACTATATAACGGTCACCTCTAGGTGCTTCCAGCAGTTCATGGATCTTGCCAATTCTTGCCATCTGGAAGTACAAAGCATATATGTTTTTATCTTCTGGAAGTCAAATTCATGTTCCTTGCCATCTGTACATGATATCAAACACGCGTCATAATGATGTTTTCCACAGTGATTGGGTGCTTAGACCTACCCCGAACCGACTCCAAAACCGTTCCTGGACTCTGTCGAAAGCCCACGGTTCGACAGAACGTCGTTTCGCTCCGTGTCGTTCGTTACTCGACACCCAGCGACTGAAGTCGCTCCGCGGAAGGAGTTGCCTCGGACACGATAGCTTTCGTTGTGGGGTGGGGTTTTCTGGTGTGCTTTCGTTTGAGGTAGCCAAAACAGAATTCAAGTATTGTCAGGTTGTAATAGAGGGATGATGACAAGCTGACTGTGTTGATGACTCATGTACGTGCATGTGCCCCTTGCGGGTGCTGATGAAGGTGGTTACGCGGACAATGGAGCGGTGGGGCATTTCTTCTACCGATTCTACCCATGGAAGGGTTTGGATGAACTATCATTGTTTGCATGCACCAGCACTTACTGTATAATCACTTGTAGACGTTTCTCGCAATCATGGAAACAAAGCATGTACGTATAGTTTTCATACATAATCTGTCAGGATGAGATTATACAGCAAGTATAACATCTCAGCCTACATATAGTTTACAAAGCAAGTACGTATAGTTTGATAACTCGCATGTCAAATTTGCCAGGATGCTTGTCCATCTCCGTCAACAAAGACAGCACCTCGGAGCGGCGTTGGCAGCGAGCTGAAAGCGAGCTGAAAGAGCAGCTCTCAGTGGCTACATGAAGTCACCTTCGAGCTGGCTGTGCTTAGGCTGAGATTTTTGGGCTTGATAATTTCTGTCAGCCTATCAGATGGCCTATCTGCAGTATGAATTGAACAGTTTTTTTGTGTTTTTTGCTCGGCTCGCTCTCTTCCGAGTCAAACTGCAAATCGAACAAGCCCACACACAGAAACAAGTCTCATACAACATCTATTTCTAGAACCTCAAAGAACCTCAAAGAACGAATGGACCCATTTTGAACAAAAAAACAATCACCCCAAGGGGTCGTGATGTTTCTTGAACACCTGCCATATCTCCGACCGCCGGTGAACGCGACGCCTCGCAGACCGCCGCACTCACACGATGCAGGGCACCTGACGCCACTGATGTCCCAGCTGCGCGGCTTCACAGGCGACGTCCCAGCTGATGGCATCCAGGTTGGGCATCTGCTGGAAGAGGTGCAGGGCCTCACAGAGTCGACCGGATCTTCGAAACGTCGTTGTTCTCGCGATTGGCGACAATCGAAAACGGGGATCGAACAAAGAAGGTCTGGAAAGCTGAAGTGAAATGATTCAATGCCTGATCAAATGCAACCTTTTTTGATCAGATTCGCAGCCTGATGGCTGCAGGAAAGTGAGACATCCCGACATCAAATCGTCGCGGGAGAGTTCTGCGACAGTTCCTTCACAACGCTGGAGTTGGGAGACATACATATGTTTCTTCAATGCTTCTCCATCTCTTTTCTTTCCATGGGTAGTGGTGAAGAAAGGCCGCGGTGAAGGGCGATGTCTATAGCTTTGGGAGATCTGAGTGACCAAAAGGGTCCAAGTATACTTCTGTGTCACCCATGTTGGCTTGCCAATTCCTCTAGCGGGGAGAAGTTCATTACAGCGGACGTGCCATCTAAGATCTAAGCAACTCATTACACCCAACCCCCAAGAGGGAGTCCATGGGCTGAACTGGCCTCCAACCAAGACAGCATGATACTGATCAGTGGTCGATCTGTCCCTCAAGTCGATGTAGCCGCTCTTGGCTTCTCCTCCTTCCGCGCCTCCTCCCATAAGTGGCTCTTGCTGAGAGCTGTCAAGGCCGCATTGTAGCTCGTGGTGTCCGGGAAAAGCTTCCATTCTCGGGCCTCGAAGAAAGCAAAGCCACCGGTTTCAGTACACGTCAAGTGGATGTGAAACTAATTGTTCACGTGTAACATGGTGTTAACAAGCTGATTGTGATGTGTAACAAACGATATAATCGTATTGTTCAATCTGATTTGTTCTTCTTCCCATCTTTGTGTTTACCACCTGCAAGAAGCGGTGTGAGCCTTCACAACAGCATGTTGCAGTGGATTTGGGACTACCACCCATCCAACTGTGGCTGTGATCCAACGAGTTGACTACATGGACGGCCTGCACACTGCAACCTTCGTGGACTGTGGACTCGCAGTCTGAACCCGTTTGGAGTTGAGGTGTGAGGGGCTGAGTGAAGCCTGGTGAGTTCGAGCGGCGTGTCCATCAGTGACCATCTCCTTCGACTTCATCAACCCTTCCCCGGATCCATGATCAATTCACTCCTCAGTCCCCCAACACCTTCCTGGCCTCCTGCAACAAATGGAGCGCCTGAGCCCACCCTCGTCCCTTCTCACAGGCGCTGATGGAGGCACCCAACAAAATGCCGTCCGGCTGCAATCCTGGCGAACGCGAAGGTGGTCAAGCTCCGCCCAGCCACGTCAGAGGGGAAAAGCTTGGTGTTTGGGGTTTGGGGCGAGGCTGTTGTGATGTTCATCCTTTTGAGCAACTCCAAGGATGCTTTTAGGACCTCGTGTGGAATGAATGAGCTGTGCCATAGTCACATGAAACAATTGGGCACCCTTCTTGGGTTACACTGTGCTTGTACATGTTCAAGTGGTGCACCAGTTGCTGGTAGTGCCACCTACATACTCTAGCGCAACTTGCATCCTTTCTTTTCCTTGTCAGTCTTAACATTACAAACACTCCCTGTTCTCTCTCTCTCTCTCTAAGCACTCCTTGCCCTTGAGCATCACCAAGAAGATGCAAAGCACGCCTGAGGTTCAGGATAGCTTCACGAAATGGCCCTTGAGCTTCACTGAGTGCCCCCAACGACGACCCCGCCGAACGCGCCTGTTGTGGTGTTTCGCGGTCCAGCTGTGCGGTCCAGTCCGGCGTCGCGCGGGCGCCACTGTAAGCGACATGGTCAAGCGATGTGCAAGACATGGTGTTTGCATCTCCCATGGTGTTTGCCTTGGAAGACCTAACTGAAACTGGAATTGAAAGAGATGAGTGCGCGCCCAAAAGAACACGGATTTCATCAAATAATCTATCCCCATCAACCCTATGAGGCAAAAGTAATGCAAGAATAGCATTCCAAAACCAGCCCTGCCATGAAGCAACTTCAATGCACCCGTTGCAAGTTTCCTGTGTCGGGTCACGGCCACTGCTGCCCACGTTCGCAGGCAGAGATGCAGCTACTGTAGGTCACCAGGTTCGGGGAGAACCTGATGTGCTCAAAGAGTTGTAGTTCCAATCCAATCTCTTTGACTGGTCGGTTATCAGTGGTGACACATGTGTTTCACATGAAAGGAAGCATGTGTCAGGACAACATGACTTTGCCGTGTCAGGATTGTCAGGTGTTGAATCGTGTCCCTCAGTATCAAGTTCTCAGTGGTTATCTTTAAAGAATCTCTTGAGGTCTCGGGCCCCTGTAGACCAGAGGCACCTGCAAGGGTCTGAGCAGGGAATTGGTCATACAGGATCTGCATGGCAGGTGCGTGAAGTCAGCAAGTTGAAGCGTTCTGACAGTCTCCCACCCTTGGCGGCAACGATCTATTCTTCGCTGCAGTTCAAGTTGAAGTACCATCCCCGACCCGACCCAGTGGTCATGGGTGGGTTGTGCCATAAGCCAGCAGCAGAGGTGAGTGGTGTTCTACATACTCCCTGTTTGGACGCAAGCAAGGGACGGCACATAAACTGAGAGCAAACCCAAGATGGGCTTATCAAATCCCACTGCATCCATTCGAATGTGGATGTGGCTGTTAAGGCACCTTTTCGGCTCCAGCTGCGCCAAAAGAGCCAATGCCAAAGTCCATGCAAAAGCCTTGCCACAGCTGCTGATCACCTCAGCTTGCCACGCTGAAAGATCTCATGTGCCATTGATCTCATCTGATCCCGTGAGTCAAGCAGGTGGAGTGTGGCGAACCCACTGGAATCTGTCGTGGTCGCTACGGTACACCAAGTGGTCGCTGTCCGGGTCGCTCCCTCTCTCTCTCTCTCTCTATAGACGTCCAACGATGGGCTGTGTTCCAACCAAAGGGCTGTGTTCAAGGCCACCAGATCCAATTCCATCCCTTGTCTTTCTGCATCAGCGCAAAGCTGCAAAGCCTGGCCACTGGATGGAACCAGGCTTGGCAGCCATGCCAAACCCACCCAAACCAAGCGTGGCGAATCATGCAGTCACAAATCTGTCTCAGCACAAGCAGTTGGTTGAAAGTTGAACTCGGGGTTAGTTACTTCTTACTTGTGGTTAGTTGAAGGTTTTAAAGCCTTTTGAAGGTTGAACTCGGGGTTAGTTGTTTCTTTTGCTTGTTTGGGTGTTCATGTGTCGTCCAGTTCTTTCTGCGTGCAGGTGTTTGACGAACCCAACTAGGTCAGGAGCGCTTGACTGTTCTTGGCGAGTACAGTTCGAAAAGACCATCGGCCAAAACTTGTCCAGTCTTGGTTGAAACTTTGAGGCTCAACATAAGCGACCAAAAGAAAGGGCTTTCCGCGGCGAAAACATGACCCAATTTTGCTGGGCAAGTGTGTTCATATGAGCCATCCTTGGATGTCTTGAGACATTAGGTTGGAGGGCCATCTCTACTAGGGTGGAGGCCATCGCTACTAGGAACAAGAAGCTACTAGTAACAAAAGGATAGTCCCCACTTCTACACCAAACATCTCAGTGCGCCTCCAACCAGCGGGAGGCCTTCTCGCAGGCGCTCAGCAAGCTGCTGATGGCGATCAAATCCAGTTCAATCGAGCCTGACGTGTTGTGCTTGCGCGCGGTGGCAGATCACTGATGCAACCGTACAGGCGCTTTCCCTTCCCCATCACGCGCCATGATGGGGCCCCACATGCGGGAGAGCTACAGGGGGTTGACACGCGGCAGTTTGGATTCAGTGAAGTCCATCCTTAAGGGTCCTGAAGGATACCCAGACACTCCATGAGACTGCCATATATGTCTACATTGACCCCCCAAACCAGCCCTGGCCTGATCGGCAGTCCTATGGCAGTCCCATGGGTCGTGTCTGGGAAACATATAGAAAGGCCCAGATAAAACTCTAACATCAACATACAAAACTCAGTTTTCTAAACTCCTGAAGTAGGGGTGAGGTTCTTTCATACCCTATACAGTACATGTCATACATACGCCTCAACCATGGGTTTCTCCAGTGTTCCCCACCTGCACTCGGCTCAAACATGAGCAGCATCGCCGTCTCCCAGGTCGTTGCAGCAGCACACGCACCTCGAGCGCACGGTAGCGGACATGTCCGTCTGAGCCAGTCCAAGAGCCCCTTCTGGCTAAAAGTGTGTTTGTTGATGCTTTTGTGTGTGAATTCTTGGCAGTTCAATATGTCTCAAGTCAGAACAAGTGAGGTTGTGCAAAAACCCCTCTGCGTTTCCCAATACCACTTTTGACGTCATCGTTTTACAGGGGATTGAGGATGCTTCTAGAAAAACGGACATGCAAATACTAATTTCATATATATATATACATGGGGGTTTGCAAGTGTTGCCACTGATATGTTTCAACGATGGTGGCCCGTGGTTTCCTTTCTTCAACGCTATCTTCTGTGCCTCCAGGTAGAAACAACATGCAGCCTTCAGGAAACCCGGTGCTGGCCAGCTGTCTTCTCTGGATGTTGTAAGGTAGATGGAAGCCTGACACATGTGTTGAGTCCAATCCAAAACGGTTCCCTAAAGTTGCTCCGAAACGCTGATGGCCGCACTGAAGGAATACTTGCAAGGCCCCAAGTGTCTCCTGGCAATCGAGGAGAGGTCTTCGCTGATTTTTTTTGGCGGCCACCCTTGGATGGGCACAAGCGCTCAGCAAGTATTTCAATCGCGTTCAAAAATCTGTCACCCTACCTATTTACTCGGTACCAATACGGCTCTGCAGAGTGTCTTGCCTGGCCCCTTCGAGTGCTCTTACTACACTACACTACGTACATTATGAAAAAAGACGTACTTGTTGACCAGGCCCTTGAAGGGCTAACGTACTAGTATACTGCCAAGTGCTCCGCGGCTACCCATCGTGAGAGGTCCAAATACATCCCAAGTTGACGTTGGGTATACACTCTGACTCACATGGAAGTGGAAAAAAACCTTGTTGGTAGAGGAAAGTAGTCTTCCAAGGGACCATGCCATCCACTTCCGTGCTCAGCTTCAAGATAACCACGTTGCATATCTTGCAATCCCAATGGAACCACGTGGTGGTTGAATGACGTGGAGACCACCCAACATGCGCGACAGGCGACAGCCATGCCGTGCGCACGTCATGCCGTCCTTCGCCGATCAGAATGATCAGGGTGGACAAAAATGAAGAACATGTCCCAACAAACCCAAACACTCCATGCCATATATGCAGATCAGTTGGGGTGGTTTGGGAGGTCAATGTAGGCATATATTGCCTCATTAATTCCGTTGCTGTTGAAACAACAGCACCATGAAGCAAACACATATTCTAAAGTGTTCAAGGATTTTGAGGGCCCCACCTACTTTTACACAGGCAATGATCTACTTCGCCTGGGCGACAGAGGCACCACCTCGGTCTATCGTGCCTCGACATCTCAGCCAAAAGCAAGTTCCCTTCTTGCCAGCGGCGGTGACGACCAAAGGCGTGTATCGCTTGTGCAAAATGCTTCTTCGTCTCCAAGAAGGCCTCCGCTTGCAGCCCGATCTGTCTCAGTTAGCAGCCCTGTCTCAGTTGAGCATCCAAGACTGTTTCTTATCACCAGGGCATCTCTTCTTTTCTTCTGCCTTCAGGACCCAACTCAAAACCGATGAGGGCCCACAGTCGTGTGTCGGGGGCGACCTCGAGCAGACCTGCCTGGCTGGCCCAGAGTTGCTGCAAGGCCTCTTGGCGCTTGGGCGGACTAACTCCCAGCGCCTTTCTGGACAGCAGCGCCAGGGCGGACAGCGCCGGATTCCAAGCGCCAGAGTCGGAAAGCGCCTGGGGCGCCAGAGATGTGTGAACCAAATCACCTCGCAATGGATTGAGGAAAAGGCTTCGACCAGGCGAGCAGACCCATGAAATTGTCCAGTCCTCATATCGGTGTGTTCTTCAGCCCAGATCTGGATAGGATGAACATACACGTTCTGTGGGTTTCGACCGCGGATGATTTGAGAGAACCGGTCTTTTGCAGGTGGAGCCGAACATCGCCGACTTCCCCTTCAGCCCTTCAGCCGAGTTGGCGCGAAGTCCATCCACACAACGAACTTGAAAAAGACTCTGACCATCCCAGGCTGCATGTAGATGATGTAGTATAATATATATTTTTTCTTATTTTACATGCATGGAATATACCTATGATCGATACAAGTAACCTAATGAAATGCCAATCCATTTTTTTTTGCAAAACCGAGGCGGGGTGATCTAACACCTGGTGCTTGTACCACTGAATCACCTTGCTGGCCACCTCCTCGCCTTCTTGTCCGGCCGTGGGAACCGGTGCCGCAGGGCCACCGCGTTCCGCATGGCGCGTTCGGGCCGTCGGTCCCCATGGCGAGTCCAAGGGAGTTGGACTGGATTTGGGAGATATACAAACAGGTCGTCTATATACGAATGTCTACGAGAGGTTGCCAAGTTGGGGGTGGTTGGTGCGAGGAGAATGGTTCCTTAACACTCCTAAGATGAAACACCAGGTAGAGTTCTCGAATTATATGTGGGACAGGCTTTCGGGGTCAATATGGAAGCTGCAAGCTGAACTGATGTTGTTCGCCAACTCAATAAGATTCACAAAACACGTTCTTTGCAGTTGTTTGCAAAGGTATGGTTTGAACCTCTGTAGCGGCTGCAATGGAACAAGTCATTGGCACTGACTGCCTGGTGTTTTGTCTCGTGGACTTATTCCCATTCAAGACACTGAGATACTGGGTGACAAACAACTACCAATTGCTGAATGTGAACCTCTGTGCGGAAGGATTTACCATGTAAGCTTGGAAACAGAATTACTCGAGACTCTAGACATCTGCGGATTCCATGTTTGGTGGATTTGTTTGCTAGTCGGCTAGTCTTCATTGCCAGGTTCAAGACTGCGAAGCTGCATACTTCTTGCCACCGCTCCGCTGCGCTTCCAACACCGAGCGGTTGCATGTGTTTGGACACGAAACATGGTGAGATCTGACCGCCGGAGATGGGCTGACCTCACTGGTGACCTCTCTTTGAGAATCCGAGTGAGCTGGGTGATTGGCACTGCAGTTTGAGTTACTCCCGCTCGCTCACAATGACTCGCTCGCATGACACATGTCGGGAAAAACACATCGATATGGGAGGGGCAAGTGTTTACCGCCCATGTGCGCTATGTTGTGGAGAAGAATCATTCTACGTACCATATATACACATCTCATTTACCCTGTCACCGTCTGGGCAACAGGAAGTCACGTGACAGTGTATATAAAATATGTCCATTAGGTCCATGTTGCCTGGAAAAGATATCCAGCAGCACTTCCCAACAATCAAAACCTTGGAGTCCTTGGCGCCTCCTTCCACACGACCTCCGCGCATCCATGTGTTATGTCTTTTTCTCGTGCGAAAGCGTGAAACTCAAGCAAGGCAGGATGATTCGGTGGTCCTGTCTTGTCAACACCTGGACCTGTTTGTTTTGTGTGTTCGACGAATGAGTTCCATACAACACTAAGTGAGATGCTCAGCCTCAACCCACATCACTGTGGAAGATATATCACGTCTTGACGGATGGCATGAAAACACGCCTCGGATCCTTCCTTCGGTGTCTCCCAGTCCCCCACGGGCCATTAAACAACAACAAAACAAAAAAAAAACAAAACCAAAAAAACAAAAACAAAAAAAACAAAAACAAAAACAACAACACCACCACCAGCAGCAGCAGCAGCAGCAACAGCAACAGCCGCAGCCACAACGAGCACGAGCACAAGCACAAGCACAAGCACAACCAACAACATCCATCAACCAGCAACCAACAAACAAGACATCCAAAACCAATCCTCTCAAGTGACATGTCACACCAATCATGGTTGACGTAAAACAAATTCACGCAGTCCAAGCAACTGCTGAATATTCAAAGTATATAAAATAAAACCTATTGCGACATTGTTGTCTTGGTCCTGAATCTGTGTTTCTGCTTCAAATCAAAGATTCTGACCGGACCAAGCGATTCCTGCTTTGGGCGATGGACACTCTCCACGCCGACCTGGCTTTCACACTGCATCGGCATCTTCCGCAGCGCCCTGTCTCCGCATCTCCGCGGCGGCGAAATCCACTCACCGAGTCCACAGAGTAGATGCGTCCACTAAACATGTATTCCCCCCTGCAAACTAACATAGAACCTGAGAATTGACCTGAGAATTAACCTGAGAATTCATGCGGTTTTCTCATCATAGAACCTGAGAATTGACCTGTGGTTTCGACCTTCTTTGCGGAGACCAACGTGGTTTTGTGGTTTTGGGAGTCCAATGGGTTCCATGTGGTCCGAATAGCAGGGGAGTATAGACATGTATTGGAAAGCATTTCTATCTATTTGGGGACCCCTATGTAGGACATCCAAAACCTACTCAAATGGACGAGACAAATGGCCAGGAAGCTGGAAGCCAATTTGGATGAACCTTTGGTTATGAGGGAGGATGAACATTGATTCCCTACAAACGCATTCCCAAACAACTTTGTGCTCAGATGCTAATAAGCTATCCATGCAATCCATGGGAATATAATTACAAAGTTCATAGTCCATGATGGATCTTCAAGATCTTTCACGTTCATCCTACATGAAGTAACACATCTCAACCAACCATGGAACGGTTGATGCACGTAGAACGTATTTCCACATGGAGAACATGCTTAAGCACGCCTTGCACTTTTTTTTCACGTCTTAACTGAGTTGAGGGGGTGAGCCAAACGGCAGAGCCTCGGTGACGGTGGCACCCTCGCCTCACCGAGACCCGCGCGTCGCATAGACCATGGCGCCGCTGGCCACGAGCAACCTGGAGGCGAGGAGGCCACGAGCAACGGGTTTTGTGTCCGGGTTTCGAGCCCTATGTTCAGAGTATCATCCGAGTCTATGTAATATGATCTCTGCAGGTATATACCTAGAATGTTATCTAAAACACCCTTCTTCAGTTCATATTGGTGATCCTTTCTGCTCATTTCTCTGGAGTTTCGTCCTCCACTTTCTTCACCCCTTGCCGATCTGCTCGAGACCCCCGGCAGCAGGCCCTCCGAGGAGAAGGCGCTCCCCAGGCCAAAGCGTTCCGCCATCAGCGCAGCGGAGAAGGAACTGAAGAGCATGCCTCTGCGCTGAGGGGTTCGAAGAGGGTTCTGAGGGGTTCTATAGATGTTTTTTGGGTTCCTTCTCCAGGGTTCAAAGGCTTCTTCAGTTCTTCAGTTCGTTCCTTTGGTTCGCAGGGTTCTCAGGTTCTTTTCGTTCGGTTCGGTTCGGTCACGCTGTTGGAGAGTTCCTTTTCTTGGCCGAAGTACCCACAAGGCCATGGAAGAAAAACACCTGGCGGCCATGCGGAGTTGTCCCTTTTGCCGGACAGTGTCAAACTGATATGATTGTGTAGTACCCCTATAATTATCTGGTCAAGGGCTGATATGATTTGTGTATTAGCAGGTCGAACATTTCTGCTGTGCCACCTCTTGCATCAAGGCTCTGGGAGTCAACAAATCCATGGTGTTTGTTTCTTTTCGATACTTGGGGTAAGCAAGAACCTCACATGTCTTGTTTTTTTTGATATTTTTTCGGGCCAATCGCTCCCCGCATCAGATATGTTTCATCCAAGAGACGAATCGTTTTCCAACGAATAAAGTCAGAACTACACTCCCTAGAACTAACATGGAAGTGGAGAATGGCCCAATAAGGAAGACCATTTTCCATTACAAACAGGTGGTGAACTCCACGTAACCATGTTAGTTCCAGGGGGAGTACCCTCTTCTTCATGGAAACGGAAGCCAGTCACCCGCAGCAAGCGGCACGAGCCCGTTCCCGCTCGGAAACACGCGCCCAGCGCCCAGTCCGTGCGGGCGACGCGCCTGTATCGCCGAAGGTATTCCAAAGGCTTGGAACCTTTGCACGATCCTTCACCTCAAACAGCGAAAAGAAAACGCTCGATCTTGGGATGAAAGACTATACCTAGAACCAGGAAAGGCCCCCTGTCTGGAGACCTGTAGGGTAGTCTTTTGGACACCCAGGATGATCCTGGTATATGATCATCATATTATCCAACACGATCCACATCCATCTGGCGTTTGAGGCATGGGTCCGCTCGTCTCGTGCCTATCCGCGAATACAGCGTCTCAGGTCTCGATCTGCCAAGTCACTGGAGCTAGATCCATGGCATGCATCTGCGCCTGGCCACACATGCAGGCGCCGATCTGCATGGCGGCCAGCACTGGTAGCCTGAAGGTCTAGGGGAGTCGAGAAGCAGCCCAAGCTGGGTGGGCCGAAAGCAAGCCTGGATGGAGATCATTCAATCCTTTTGAGCCAAACCTTCTTTCTGGTCTGACCGAAGAAGGGCAGCGAGCCCTCAACCATCCCCGCGCAAAGCCCTTGAAGCCCAACATCCACTGACTCGAGATCAGGAGCCAGAAAGAAGAAACAACTTGTTGTGACCCATACAAAACACACCATCCAGGCCTAGGCTCAACATGTCCAACAAAAAGCACACACACCTGAACAACATGTCAAACGCAGCAAACATGGTGCCTGGAAACTCGACAAATCCAGTTAACTGGTGACAAATCCAAACCAAATCTGACTCCTCTGCTGTCGTTTCCCCCCCGCGCGGTCCGCGGACCATTCCTGCGGACCCAAGTCTGCGGTCTGCGGACCGGTCGACGACCAACGCTCGGACCGGTCACCTCCCCTCGCGGCATTTTTTTGCAGCCCAGAGGCAACTCGATGAGCGTGGTGACCTGTGGTACCATCATCAGACTTACTCCATACCTCAGGTTCGGGTTCCAACGAAAGCGCCTTAACTCAGAAGGCGCGTTCGGGTTTTGGGCGGTCGTTCTTGTTACAGCTGTAAGGGGGGGTGCGTTGGAAACTACAGTAAATACCGGTGTGCCTAGAGTTTTGTGTGTACCTTCGGAAAAGGATAAGTAGACAAAGCCGCACGAAACCCATGTTTTGATTGGTTTCTCCCAGTTTAAACCTGTACGAGTAAGTACACAAACATCCACATGTGTTGTTGTAATTGAATTCGACGACGACAAACATCACCACCAACAACCACAACCAAGAACCAAACACCAAGCACCACAAACTTTGAATCAAGATCCCATAACCACAACCAGCACCTACCTGGACTTTCATGCTTCACAAAAAGGCAAGTCACAAGGACCTGCAGATGAACATGGAACCCCAAAACCACAACCAGTTGCAATTCCGGACCATGGTCTTCCGAAAAGGGACCATGTTCAAGCCATGTCAGTTTGCGGAGGGGGGGTCACCCGGAAGAAAAAAGCACCGTTTCCGCTATATCCGATGTGAGGGTCACGGCAGCCTCACAGAACTTCGGAGTCCCGTTGGTTCCGAGCCAAGCGGCAGAAGGGCGCCCGGCAAGACCACCTCCAACGCGTTGGCTGGACCAAGACGGACCCGGACCAAACGGTGGACTGGACAAAGAGGTCAAATGGTTTGATGGGACAAAAGATCTCACTTGAGATGTGAGCGTTTCTATTTTTGGTGAGTCCTATTGTTCTACCTAGGTAGGTCAAGTGACTGTTGCTCAAGAAGTCTGAATGGATTCAAAGTGACGCGACCTCGAGCATCTCGAAGAGACTCGATGTCGTTCGGGAAGACGGGACTCCAGAGTTCGGAGTATAACAGAACTCAAGAAGCCAATGAACCAGGAGTCACATGTCGGGGTGGTGTTTAGCCCCATCCAGTGAGTGGATGTTCTGGGCACCCCTAACCTCCATGGATCGCATCCCAGCCTGTGACTGCTAGAATGCATTCTTCCCTATAAAGGATCATTGGACCCTCAACGAATCCGTGTTTAACCCTGAAGGCAAGTCACCTGGCATTGCTTCCCCCGTTGGCATTCAATTCTGTAATCTCAACGAATTGGGATGGAGCCAGCATCACGTGGTCCGTGTCTATAGGACCTCTGAACTTCGATGTGTTATTCAGGTGCTGCCCTGGATACCTGCAAAGCATTCGAAAGCCATCACAAGTTATGGCACATCGTGACGGACCGAACACACCATGTCTTTCCAATCTCTTTTGTGAGAGCTGGCACGAACGTGCGACTGCGAGACCGCGATAGACCAAGCCACACCGAGTTGGGTTTTCTTGACGCTCCTGTCCCATATCAGAAGGTGGTTAGAACGGTTAGACCCCCCCTGGCACCCACCTCAAGCACTTTCTCAGATCTTCTCAGGAGCTAGGCCAGGACTGCTTAAACAGCTTAGCAAACCGATTGCCCATGCCCTCCCCCTCCCACTCCACGGGGCCGACCACACCTGCATCTTCCCGAAGCGGTCCGCCGTCTTAGCCACTAAGGGCGTGACGCTCAAACTGACCTCGGGAGCTGCGGTCCGCTGAGGAGCTGCTCCCCGGCAGGGACTGATGGGCTGATGGGACACCGTAGGGGGGACGGGTGCGTGCGAACACCTGGACCCAACGAAGATCGGATCGGGGTACCTGTCAATGGGACATGGCAAGATAGGTCCATGCCCTCTTCCCAACTCTGACTATAGCTCTTTCATGTCTCCAAATCTGCAGTGGCTACGAAAAGATAGACCAAATGAGAAGCCTCAAGGTCACAGAAACAAAAAATAATCAAACAGCCGTAAAAAGCCGTGAAACAAAACAAACAAAAAGAGAAGATATACCATTAAAAGCCGTGTAGAGCAAAGCAAAACAAGCATGGTTTTTACAGAGTCACTCCAGCGTCACCCGCTCCCGTCACCGGAGTTTTCGCGCAGAGTCTTCGCTCCGAAAGCTCCGAGCGGCTAAGGCATTCGCCGTCGAGAGGCCGCCCACCACGGCGGGCGACAGCGCTAAGTCCACGTAGATCAGTGGAATCAACGCAGCAGCCTTGGTGGAGAGTCTCAGACTGGTCGGTGGAGATGGTAGTCCACGTGCTGAAGCTTTTGGCGGCCCAGGCGGCCCAGGCCCAGTGCTTCTTGGGGCGCCCGACTTGCTTGGCACTAGTTAGAAGTGGAGTTGCTAGAAGTCCTGAAACCTTCCAACAAACACACATACACACAAACACATGTATAAACACACTGTAGACTTCCATCCGGGATGGTTTCCCGAAGGCCTCCCAAAGATGGATACTTCTAACTGGAAGGGGTCTTCGCTGTTGGCAACTGACTTCAGCACCACCGTGATCTCACCGGCAATAGGGCCAACCCTATAGATTTCTAGGACCACCCAACAAAGAAACGGTGTTTCACCCAGTTGTGTTGTGTGGTTCACATGCAAAGCCAATCCAGCAAACGTAGGTGACGTCGACGCTGTAAATCGCTGGACATCGTACGGGTATGGCTTGGCGGTGAAGATCGACGTTGCTATTGGAGGATAAGACATCAAAATTGATGTGACATGAGAGTCTTTCTTGAGAGGAAGTAGTGAATCATAGAATCATCACACACTTGTAATATCTTATACCCAAACACGACTAATGGGACTGCCATAGGACTGCCGCCCCAGTTAACCCCCAAAAAACACCCCTGGCCGTTTCTCGGCAGTCCTTATATGGCAGTCCCAGACGTGTCGTGTCTGGGATATACTCATTCATGTATACATCGAACAGCGGATCATGTCCCTTCCTGCGAGCTCGGAGCTACATAAGGCCGACAGAGCACAGGACATCCAGGGACACAATATCGATCCGATGCGTCCACCTCCAAAGCAATGATGGATCTGCCGTTTTTGGGGCCTCACCTCCAAAGGTGTTGAACACATGATGCACCATCCTCCAACCTCCAACCTCTGAACCCAGCTGCGGATCCCCGAACGAAGAACCACTTTTGGGGTGTTGACGTCGTTTTGTCCCGGTGGTTTTTGTGGTTTCTGTGGGCGTTTGTGCAGGTTTTCTCTCCGAGTCGCTCCCCAGAAAGCCGCGTTGTAACACCAGCCGAAGGAGATCATCTGTCGAAAGGGCTTCAGGGACAAGATGGGCGCCCAGGACTTGAGCGTGTCCAACACACCTGTGGCGTGGCCGTCACCAGCGTTGGTCGGGAACATCCATGGTCACTTAGATGAACTTAGACTCAAACATTTTGTAGCTTGGTCTCTTAAAGTAGGTCTACCTTTTGTACCATATGAATATAAGTACGTCCTTACCAAGTTAGTAGCAAAACTGCGTTCAACAAAAGGCACTTGCAAATCTTCTCCAAATCTTCGACAGCTCTTCCTTCTAATTGCTTTCTGCCGCCTGGTGCTATCTCATTCAGAAAATGCCAATATAGTACTTTTTCAAAAATAAATCTGCCAAATTTACTCCTATTTATATATGTTGTTAAATAGATTCAGAACAATAAATCTAACATGTTCTGTTCCAACCTTCAGAACTTCCACTGGTGCGCCCGCCCTGAAAACACACGTCTGGTCACCTCGCTGCCGTTCTCCAGGTCTCAGTCGGTGGGTCTCCGGAAGCAGCGCAAAGACGCAAAGCGCGGTGCAAAAGCTGCTGGCGCCCACGCCCAAGGACATGAGCTCCTGAGCTGCAGCCGGCGCTTTTTTTTCTTTTTGCGCGACAAAAAGAGGAGCGAAGGGTGAGATCCAAATGAGGATCCAAGTGAGAATGCGCCCTGAACTGGGAGACCAGGGCACATTGCATGGACTTGATGTTAGAAGTATTGTTTGACACATGCCAAAAACACATGTCAAAGGATGTGTCTTTCCTTTTGGAGGCATGCATTTTGTGAGACAAGCTTTTGGCAGTTGGCATAGCTGTAGGTCATTTGTCTTTGGGCGATGCGCCAATTAATGACAGATGGGGTTAGGACACCATCTGTGGGAGCAAAATCAGGATTTCACACTTCCACACCATTCGGGCCCTATGACATGTGGTGTCCGATGAAGCTGGGTTTCACCAAGGCCAACCACGATCACGCTTCTTACATGTTACTGTTCCACCTTTGACCTCAGTTTCGGTTAACCCAAGCTAACCTCAAAAATTGCAGAAGTCGAGGCTCCACTGGCTGGCTCAATAACCATGTTAGTGTTTTCGCTCAGGTCTGATAATATAAGTCTGTTATGCATCTGTTTGATTCTTTTTGCTTGCATATCGCAGCAAGCCAAGACTCCAATCCCACGTTCTCCAGCAGGTAGCCTGTCACAAAAAGGCTCATGCCCCCCCCACCCACAGCTGCTGATCCACAATTGCTTTGGAATAATAATAACATGTGGCCTCCCAAAAACAACTCCTAATCACCCCGGGAAGCATCCCAAAACCACACACTTCACGTCCTTTTCCCAGTGAAGCCCAGCTGAATCACACCAGGCCCCCCCTAAAAAAAGAAGAAAAAAAATGGCCTCCGCAAGCGGGGCCGATCAAGAGCCCGGCGGACATGCCCATCTGCATGGGCGCTCGGGTCCGCGCCGAGTTCAAGGGGTGCGAGATGTCCGTGACGTACATCCCTGGCCGCGAACGCAGTCAGGTGGCACACATCGCGAGTCGCGCAGCGGAGCGTTCGCTACGTCCGAAGGATTGGGGGGAGGGGGTGTCCGGCCGAATCCGGCCTACAGCGGGCCGACCCTGCAAGATTGGCCCAGCGGCCCCACCTTTCATTCGAGAATTCTCGATCTAACATGAACTAAGCTATACAAGCCTTAGACTTGGTGACCGATGAGACTGAAACGGGTCTGCAAAAGCTACACGATCGAGGTTCAAATACCATCAACTTGGCGCCCAGATTGCCCCGTTTCTTCTTCGCCCGGAAGACCTCGTTTCACCGAGCACAACACGGGAACTTCGTCCTCAAATGGCTCTACAAGGACAATTTGGTTCTTTCCACACGGTTTGTATATATCTTTTGGGGGGGACCTTTGGCAGGTGGGTTTCCATGGCTCTTCAGTCCAAAGACAGGTGTTGTTCTCTCCCTAGGATCCAAGTACATCCTCAAAAGGTACTTGGACCCTCCAAACCCACCCCAAGCACCTTCTCAGAGGGTACTTGGATCCTTAGGGTCTAAGTATTGTCTCTCAAATCCTTTGAACCTCTCCTCCTGTTCGATCTCGAGCCCAAAACTTCGACACGAGCATCACCTGCGGAGGTAAAGGTGGAGGCCACTCCCAGGCCGATCGCCAAACGCAGCACCATGAGCTGCTCGTAGCACGTGGCGAAGGCCACGCCGGCGATGCCTGGAATGACGGGCTGGTAGGGCGGAGTGGCCGCATTGAATGGTTATATGTGAAGGAAATGGCCTTTGTGAAAATGCTTCTGAGGTGTTTTTGGGAGACTCATCAACTTCCCTATCCAACAAAACAGCCAAAACACGGGGCCGATTTAATCTCGGCTTCCAAGAATAGGTTTCCATTGAGGCCGATTGTGTGTCTTCACCTTCAACGTCACACCTGTGGCGATGGACATCAGGCCCATGACCAGTAGCGGCTTCCTCCCGTAGGCGTCCGAGAGCATGGACGAGGGGATATTTCCACAGAGCCTCCGGCGATTCGGATGGATCGAATGGTTGAAAGACAAAAAGACTGCATCGAAATCAAACATGTCTTCATCTGTTCGGACCAAAGACAGTGGGTGGTACCCTATCTTTGAGCCGTAAGATTGGAGGGCTGCGGCACTTGGGGGTTGGAAACAAACGGTTCTTGTTTGCTTTTGAAGCCACAAAGGACACCAGCCCAGCCAACCGAAGCAGCAAACAGTTCAGTCCTTTCAGTGCTGCTATAGATGCTATAGACTGATATGCTTTAGAACACAGTGATTTCATCGATTGATCTCCTGTGCGAAAGGAGCGTGGCAGCCACCAAAACAGGACAAGTTGTCCAGGCACTACACAGTTCAAGAATTCAATGGTTTGAAACCACATTCTTTTTGAGGGAGAAGCTTTCGGCCTACGGCATGTTCTCTAATTAGAAAACAAAGATCACCAAATTTGGAACATCAACATGTAGAAAAACACACGGCATAAAAGAACACCTATTTGTGTCCACAAGCTCTTGCGCACTGCATGAACCCCGCATCTTCTCTGGGTGTTTATCCGAAGTCTTTCTCGGTCACACCCAACCACTTCACGTGCTGCAATCTGAGTAGCTTGGCCACAGCAAAGGCCGTGGTCAATGTGCCAAATTGCAGTTGCGTCATGCCGAAGGTTTGAATCAATGTGGGACCCATCCTGGGAGATCGCAGGGGGATAGAGGACGCTACTAGGAGCAAAGGGCATCGCTACTAGGAACAAGAAGCTACTAGGGGCTCCTGGCCTTGCTACGAACGGAGCAAGGAAGCTACATGCATGGAACCCATTCCGAATGACCCTAAGGTATCACTCCAGCGGCGCGATCGGGAACCCGTGAGCGACCGGAAACGGCTCAAACGGACCGTGAGCTAAACACTTGGGCAGCTCATGATGTCCAAAACAGCGATATATATATATATATAGACCCCCTAATAGATAGAAGTTCGTAGATCTCCACTAAAAATGTCACTATGTATTCGGGGATCACTATCAATTTATGTGGAGAACCTCAAATGTCATGCTGGGTTGCTTCCTTTCTTTTTCAGGCTCTTTGGGAGAATATGCGGTGGTATGAACATCTGCAGTAGCCATAACGAAGCTGATGATATGCATCGCAGCAAAGTTAGAACCAAGATTTGTTTCCGCAGTACAAAATGACAGGATAATGGATCAATCCAAAAGGAACAATAACACAATTATATACTGTAAATACCTAAGATTATTCCAATATATTTAGAATCAAAATTGTTTAATTTCAGCTTGTTGATGATCTTCGCAGGATTGCCTCTGCACCCCTGGCTTATTGACTGATATCAAATCAATGCCACGTTTCATGACGTACGACCTGGCGTAACGGCCTCAAGTTCCTCGTTTTGACCCAAACCCTTCTTCACAGTCTTCACACATCCTGGCAGCGCCTTCAGCTTGGCCCGGTCCGTCCAAGCGTCGGGAAAGTGACCGAAAAGCCGCCAAAGGCCACTCCTTTCAAAAAGGTCAGTGACGCTTGAAGCATTGGAATGCATTGAACATCTCTTTCTGGAACCAATCAAATGTTACTTCTGCCTCTACAATGTACAAATTTGGCAATGTCTGATTTAATCTCTACTCTCAAGTTTCAACCACCATCCTGGTCTATCTCTGCCTCTACTCCTCTAATTGGGGCAAGGGGATCATGAACGAGAAACATGTTGACATACACTCTTCAGGAGTGTTTCCTTCACGGGACACTCACAAATTAGTCTGAGACACCTATCTGGAAACATGTATATAAAGATATAGATACAATGCATGTGGAAACCTCTGGAAACTGAAGCCCTGCCTATGGCGGCAGCAAGGTAGTACCTCAGTTGGAAGCTCCACTTTCAAGGACATCAGGTGCTATCTGGTGCAGGGAAGGAAGCCTAGAGTCAAAATCTTGCCCTAGCCCGATACCTAAATGACAAGCAACATGTGGCAATTTGGGGAGATTCGATGTTTTGAGCAAAACACTTTTGGGGGAAGCTAAAACACCTGTTAGCAGTGCTCTCAAGGTGTCAAACCAACGATTCCCTTCTAAGAATCCGTGATGGCTCTAGGAGACAAAGCATGGCGCAGCCTTTTGTTCCTCCCCACACACTAGCCGACACGTGGGACACGGGCAACCCAAACACTCCATGAAACTGTAATATTTGCCGATCAGTAGGGGTGGTTGAGCCGGGGTCAAATAATATATATATATATATATTCCAGTCCCACGATTCGTGTCTGGTACCTAGCAGTGTCTGGTGCCTGTTCATCTCCAAGCTAGAAAGTCAAAAGATGATGTGAGCTGCTGACAGGTCAGTTTAGCATCCCAAACACTTCCAGGTCTGTTGGTCATCTTCTGTCTCTTCCAGTTCTGGTGCTTAGAAGGTGCTCAGTTCTGTGCATTTTCCAGGTCCATCCGCTCCAAGTCCATCCGCTCCCAACTCCGCTTCCCGCCATGCCGCGCCCGTCGGTCCACCGGCGAAGCCATTGAGAGCACGGCCTCTTCGAACTCACTAAAGCTCAGCGCGCCGTCGGTGCCGCGGTGGTACCTGGCGCAAATGAAAACAATCCCGAGGGCTCCAATTACCTGAGAAGATGGTTCTGGTGGGTGCCAGCGGGGGTCTAACCACCTTCTGAGGATATTGTTGGAGGTTTAGGGAAGGACATGATATGATGATGTATGGCCGAACATATCCATTGATATTTTGGCACCATTTTGCAGCTGTATAATATTTGTGCTTATACATGTTGTCGTTACGAACATTCCGTGAATCTCTTCAGCATGCATCCTGTGAGGTTGTTGCTTTAAGGCTGCCATGTGCTGAAAACATGTCCCAAGTACTTTCGACATCTTTACCTAAGACATCATCGAGTATGTAAATGTGTTGTCGCCGTTTCGGTGCCGTTTGAGCACCTTTTCGTTTCTTTTGGAAAGTGATGTGTTTGGTCATGTCACCCTTTCTATCCAAAATCTACAAAGTGCTGCACTACATAAATTTCAGCCGCCTGCCTCAAGAACTATGTATTCTTAATGTTTCTTCTAAACAACCAAACACACACATACAAATGAAAATTGTAGGTATACCTCAAACCCAACACGGGCTTGCTGTGTTTTTGTTAAACATATTTGCAACGTCACAAACAAGTTTCTCATTAGTTCTAATATATACCGATTTTATATCGATTCTCTATATATATATATATTATACATGTTAATGCGTGCTGCGTCACACGCAAAGCAACTTCTTCCAACAAAACACTAAATGAACAACAAATCAAGTAATAACCGTATATTACTACACCATTCACAAATATAAAATGTAATACAGGTGCCACATGCTACAAAACAGGCGGTCGCGCGTCTCCAAGAAGTTATCCAATCGGTCGACCGGTCGTATTTTCGGCACGTGTCCAAGATGGCCGTGACAGCGCGGTCCAGCTCTGCATCGGTGGCATGATGGCCTTTCACCTAAGAGTCGATGGCTGAATGGTTTTTCCTTTAGGAGCAATGACGCTACTAGTAGGGTTTACAATGGTTTATAGGTTTTGAGCCTGAGCAGAGCCGCTAGTATTGGAACTCTATGTTTCTTTACATTGATACTGGGGGGTGTTGTTAATCAACGGTTCAAAAAAGTGGGTGCTCTGAGACAATCTTGGGACAGGACTCAGTAGATCATGAGAATAAACAGTCGAAAGAGGCCTGGTATTGTTTTATGCTACTGGTACTCCCGCCAATCAAGAACACACGGGTCCATTGAACACAACTTGCCAATCAAACTACTCCCTAAGGGTACAAAAATGTACAAAGATTCACCTTGCTTCCAGGGCTCCAAGAGTTTTACTGTAATAACAAGTGGAGGAATCACCTCATTGCTTATTGCCTTCGGCAGCTGTCATGGCATATGACATCACACGGCTGCTGTGGTAATTGAACAAAGCATATAGCATTCTCCTCCTTCCCTCATGAAGCAACCCTATTCCGAAAGAATATTCAGGGTCTCCATGTTGATCTTCAAGTCACCTTCTACATCCTTCTACCCAGAACAAATCATCTTCTTCCATCTTCTCCCAAAAACTATACACCATTGGGACGCTCTCTCCACCCTCCGCTGGACTCCTTCGACTCTGCACCCCGGTGGGCCTCTGCCATCAAGCGCCGGAGCTCCGTGGCGCACAAGGTCCCTGGCCGAGACGGGTCAAAGCAGGAACTCAAAGGAGATCACGAAAAGAAACACATTGATCATACATGATCATGTATGGTTTGAATTGTTGTTGTCGTTGTTGCTTTTAAATACACATATAAAATAAGCTCAAACATGCACAAACTTGCTTTTCAAGGAAGAACCGATTCCCATGTCAGACTTGATTTCGGGAAGAAAAGTGGTCAAACAAAGTTATCCCACATTAGGATATAATGGATGTTGGACAGGGAGATGGAGAAGATTCGATTCATTAATTGATCCTTCCAAGCGTGCCCACTGCGCTTTCGCTGGTCACAATGGTCACATGTTCGCTGGTCACAACATTTGTTGAGATTGCCCAAGGAACTCAGGGGAGCGTGGTTGTTGGTTTTCTCCAATGATTGTCGTGATATCTTGTGGTCAGTCATTTTGAGTAATTATGGGACAATTCCAAAGGGACATGTTCAAACAATGTTTGCTCTGTAACATGTTTAGCCCGGTCAAACATGCTCACTCTCCCTCTACCCGTGAGATCTTAAGGGCTTGTTGCCAACGGATTTAAGCCTCACTCTGGCTTGATCAATCCTTAAAAATATGGCCGAGTCCACCTGATTGATCCACATCCAAACGTGCAAAGGCACGTTTGAGCTCCTGCGCGAGTTACTTGTGACCGTCACTTGTGTTTCGCTGCAGCGAACAGTGAACATTCATGTTCAGGGGAGGAACACAATGTTCACCCTACAGTATCTCAGGCACTTGGATGAAAAAGTACTAGGGTTCTCACTTGACAGGCTGTTGATTGCTTGCTCAAACGATCTGCGCCTCTGATTGGATTTTCTGAGCATGCACTGGGGGGGTGATTGAAGCATTGAAGGTTTTTCAGCAGTGCAGGTTTAGCTGAACCGCTTATCCTAACTAAGAGTAAGACAACATAGTTTGCAGCAATGTGTCGTCTGAATCAGATATCAAAAGTGTTGAAATTTAGGACATCAGCATATATATATATATCCGATAGCTTATCTTTCAACGAGGTTCTCTGGGGGGGGGGCACATGTTCGGTCCTCTGGTTGTGCGCTGGCGACTCGCAGCGCCTGTCGAGTGCCGAGAACTGCCAGCAAGGCATCTACGCCATTCCCCCACAAGTATCAACCCCAACAGAACTCTTGGTTTAGCAATAGGAGACTAAATGGAAGAAAAGAAGACATTAATAAAACAACAGAAAATAGTAGTTTAAACAAAAAAATAAGAATAAGAAACAACAACATAACAAAAATAAGAATAACAAAGATTTGGGATTCATTTTTTTGGAGTCGCTCGGGGGGGTTGACATTGAGCAATGCCTCCAGATCCCATGCCAAACACCCCGCCTGAATAAAATTCCTGGGCGGTATGATCAACGCCAACTCCTGGCAAAACATCCGCAGACTGCGCACGGAGATCTTCGCTGGCCAGAAACCACCGTTTCGTCGCACCTGCGGGGAGGACATTTCTGGTGGTCCGACAACGACTGAAGTTTTCGGACCACCGTAAATGACTGGATTTGTCACGTTTCCTCCCACAGGAACACATGGCTGCGCGTCGTCAACGCAGGCGTCAACGCAGGCGTCAACCTATGCTCTGAACGTTGCACGGCCTTGGCCTGAGAACGTGGGGGGGGAGGGTCATCATCAACCTATAACTTCGTCTGTGAATGGCTAGATCGCCCGTCGAAGTGTGAGTAGTGGTCTACCACAAGCCTGGCTGACAGCAGTAGCTGTCAGCGTTTTTGACTTTTTCACACAAGCCTTTTGTGTGGAGGTTACTCACCCTCTCCCCTGTCCCGCGCACACCTTTCCAGTAGAAACCTGTCACTTTGTGATTCCCTTGCCTGGCTCTGACACGGTACGAGTCTGTGGCCAAGCATCCTCATAGTGACCAGTTACAAAAAACACTCATGTCGTTTTGTCCAAGGTGTTGAAGCTGACCAGCTTCAGTCCAACACTGGACAGAAGTCAGAAGTCAGTAGTTCAGTAGAACTCCATTTATCCTACTGACAACCATGTCCAACCCAACTGACTTAAGCGCTTCTCGACACAGTCGCCTCTCGCGAGTCGCGGCTCCAGTCGACCCCACCTCGCTACTGAGGCTCAGAGTCTCGACATCCTCCGCCTGGAGCCGACCAAAAGGAGGACAGGATGAACAGCGTGAAGGACAGGATGAACAGCAAGAAAGCTGCCCACAAACACTCAGGCACCATAGGGCACCATACTGTATGATTTAGATGGTGATGGAGAAACTTCTCGTCAAGCGGTTTTTTGAAGCGAAAACGAGGTCTTTTGATCCGATACGATCAAACTGTAAACCCTCACTTTGCTCTTAGGAAGTAGAGAAAGACTAGTTTCAGTATGTTTTGGTTCCTATGGTTGGGGGCATGGATGGGAACCCCATTTGCTGCCCAAAGACTCCCCGCCTTAGGCGGTTCTTTGGTCGAGAAGGCTCTGTCAAGCGCCCACCGACCGCCCACAGGTCCAGCCAGGCAGGGGTGTGGACCACTCACCAGCAGCGGTTGTAGAAGCACCTGCTCCAGAAATGTCCAGACCAAAACAAGCTGCAGATGTACGACTCGCCAAGGAGGGGTATGCAGGCGGGCGGACGTCTCCGACCCAGGCATTCTCTTGATGGAGGAAATCCTATATATACTATATATATATATGCACATCATCCCAGTCAGCTAGTACCAACCCTTCTTCTTTACCCCACGGCAGGGCAAAATTCCGAAATCCTGATCTTGCTCTCAAAATGCAAAGAGATCACTTTCGCGAGCAGCAGGATGCGTCCTTCGTTGGACGCTGCCCACCTGTCGATTGGCCCAGACCCGACATCCAGAGCGCAGTCCGCGGGCAGCGCGAGCAGCGCGCAGCATCGCGTTCACTGGTTGTCAACTGTTGGGTCGGGCATCTCCAGGTTGAAGGTAAGAGGCTGGATGAGGTGAGTGAGAAATGGAATAGGTGTGATGTGTCTGTAATCAACCTTGCGATAGACGGGACAATCCAACCAAACAGCAGGACGTCCTATGATTTCTTGGAGTTCTTATTACTTGTTAAAAGACAAAATAAGAAAAACCATCAGCAGGATCATGTCCGGACATGATGGGAGGTCTATGGAGGGTCTAAATGATCCGAATAGTAGGTGCTTTTCCCAGTAGAGAGGCTCAGCAAATACCCCCTTGACGATCAAATTCTTGGTTTGATCGTGAGTCTGCCAAGTAAGGCTGCTTCAAGCATCTTAGATCCAGCACACTCGATCACACCGATGGATTGCATGTTATATATAATATTATATTATTATATACTGTATACATATATATATATTATATGTATATATTGTTATCTGTAATGTGTTGTGTCTAGTTTTATGTTTCTTATTTATTCTTTTAATTCTTCAAGATGCTGAGCATTCTGATCTCAGGCGTGTTCATATCTGAATCTCTGCGGCGAACGGCGAATGGAACTGAAAAAAAACATGCAATGTGACCTCCGGCGCCAATCGAATTCACTTCGGCTGCGGTGCCAAGACGCCTCGACTCATGAGAACCTCCGGCATGCGGAAGGAATGCAAACGCTTGGAATGCGTTCATTCGCCCCAAAAGCATCACCAAAAGCTCCAAAAAGTGAACCTCCGAACCCCATGCCGTTCCCCAGCCGCGACCTCGTCCAGTGTGGGACCCTGGGAGGCACGATCTTGCCATCGGTTTGGTGTGAAGGCCTGCCCAACCCCCCATCTTCTCTGTTCTGCTCGTCATCTACCTTCAACTACTGAAAAACACCCTCAACAAGTCCTGAACAAGTCATCGTGTTGCCCAGTCATTTCCACATCGCAAAGCTCTTTTTCGTTCAGCGCGTGAAGTTCAGGTTCCGGCTGAGCCTCGGCAGGCTTGGAGGGGAAGGCAAGCTACTTCAGCATCGAACATCATATGGAAATCTAATGAAATTCTAGCACCTGAACGACTTTTGCAACATGGGACGTTGCCACCAACAACACAATAATAATGGATGCTGAATCATGAACAAAATCCTAAAGCAGCTGAAAGATCCTGGGAAGACAGGATGTTGCCATCGACACAGTGCTTGACAGTGCTTAACAACATTAGATGCACAAAAAATATGGGCCGTCTCCTTGTGACTCTCAGGAGGAAAAAGGCACACTGCACTTACACTGGGCTGCTTCCCTGAATGCTTGACCATGTAAGTAACGCTGAAGGCACTGAACAGCTCTTCTCACCTGTTGCATGAGGCTCCTCCTAGCACCTATTCCATAAGGCCCTCCATAAGGTCCATTCCTCTCCCCAAGCACCTACCTGGTACCACGCTTCCGAAGATTCCGCTGACTGGGCCGCAGCGCAGGGCCCGGGTCGCCCACTGGCGCTTGGCCACGAGGAGCGCCTCGTGGTGGCAGAAGCGGAGCTCGTAGTGGTGGTGAAGCCCACTGCTCCTGACGGAAAACAAAGAGATCCCGATTTTCTCCGGAGGAGATAGAGAGAAATCTCTCAGACCGAGGCCAACGAGAAAGTGCGTGTTTCTACAAACGAGGACGTGTATGAGGATGTGGGTAAGAACATATTGGAACCATAGTAGGCCGTATAGTTAATTACTATAGCTGCTGTTCACCAAACAAGGAAGTGTTTCAAAGGTGGCTCAGATATTCCAAGAGTTGCCCAGTCAACCGTTCTCTGAAGCTTTTGGGCAAAGCATGGCAAAGCAGTCCCCAACCATTGAGCAGCACTATCTCTTCCATCTCTTGGCTTTATTGATGTGGGCTCGTTTATCTCTTATCACCCAGTCAAGTGAAATGCAAAGAACCCAGCCACAAGCAAACGTAAATTCACATGACCAGGTGGCCAAATGTTTTGGACCACAGAGCGGCACGTGTGTATGATACCAGGATGATCTGATCCCAAGTCTCTTGAACCAAATGCCATCTGGAGTTTTCATGAGTTTTCCATTCCGCATTCCCAAACTGGCCTCATCTCCCCAAGGCTTGGCTCGAATCTACGACCAAGTTCGGTCTCCAAACCCGCAGAAGACAAGCAGTTTTTAAGCTGAATGGGACAGTCACAGTTGTGCCCCATCATGGCACATGCAAACATAAAGGGATCCACCTTCTGCCGGGAGCTTCGCGAAGCTACAGGTCCGGTGCCGGCACCGCGGAACACCGAAACAACCCGCCAAATGCGACGACCAAACGACCCCTGGGTTGAAGAGCAATATTGCTCATCAGCTTCATTTTGGTGTAGATGTTTAGGTCCATACCGTCCAGACCCATGGGGAGTTCTTTGGGTCTGGTAAAGTCAAGTACAGTACCACCAACGACTGTCCGTACCCACCGGGAGCTTCGCTTCGGACGGCTGGGCAAATGCCTCATCCAGGCTCGCCAGGCGCTGGGCGGTGGCCGGTAGCGGCCATCTTGCAGCTGTAACTGAGGCCGAGCGCTTTGGGGGGCGCCATCTATGGCAGGATGAAGTGAAGGCCAAGTGGTTCTCTCGGCTGAACATGAACACGGGCAAGTGCTAAGTGTGCATATACTAAAAGCAAAACAATGAAGAAATCTGAGGTAGTTCTGGCTGGATTTCGTCGTTCTCGTCCTGGTGGAGCTGCTGTCCTTTCCGGGAAGGAAGTAGTGGTTTATAGCGCAAAAAAGACGAGGAACTCCGGGATAAGGAAGACCTCTGAAGGTCACGGTGTTTTCCAAACCGTTGGAGGCCATTTTGGCCCCCCAAGACGAGGGAGAAGTTCTTGACCTCCCAACAACTGAAGTTCATATAGAGTATCATAGCTTTGGTTTCCTAGAGTTTTGACAAAAAACAACTTGTGAAAACGATAAAACGATATGTGTCAATGTCCCTCCAGCAGCGAAACATCGAAACATCTGCCTGTGACTCCATCCGCAGTAATGCGAACTGCAGGCGGCCCGCGGATAAGAGCCGCGGAGCACCTGGCAGGGATCAATGAGCAAAGACTAGACAAACCCTGTCCAAGAATAGATTATATAAATCAACCCTTGTACAAAGCATGCTCTATTTTCACCCAGCCCACTGTCAAAATCAAGAAGTAGACCTCTTTCTACCCAGATCTTCACCATTCTTCTCCCCACAAGATCCAAAAACCATCGCGAACACCGAAGAAAGCCCATCATTATACGTCTCCCTACACGTCCCAGCCATCATCCTAGCTGCCCTTCGCTTCCACCCAGCCAGGCACGATCCGAATATGGTGGGACCCCGCCGGCGTCTCCGGCAGAATCTCCGCGGGAAACCCGCGCTCGTCGAGTCTGGCGTCGCGTCTCGCGTTGAGTCTCCGCCTTGGAGGAGGTCGAGCTCACTGCCGTCGGTGTGGATCTTTAAAACCCATGGATCATCTGGCGAGATCCGGTGTGACGTCAGTCGGCCCGGTGTGACGTCGGGTGTCGATGGGTGTGTGACCGGCCCGGTATGTGTCAACAAGCTGGAGACAGTGTGTTGTTCTTTTCTATGATGTTTTTTTTAATCATCTACAGTATCTGATTGCAGAGCAGAGATGCTACTTCTCTTTGGGAGGTATCATGGGAATGACTTATTGACTCACTTCTTGGGAATCGCAGATGTTTTTGGCTTCGCTGGATTCTGCACCCTCGCCTGTGAGATCCTGTGAGAATGGCAGCTTCCCACCCGACACCAGTGATACAAGCGGTGGTCAAGATATTACCTACTTAACTTTGGAGACACTTGGATTGAGGGGATCCAACTAGAGCTCAGCATCCTCGTTCACAAGAAGTATACCCATCATTGCTGCACTCAGCACCCCCCTAAACCGAAGCCCATCAAACCTTGTACCCTACCTGCAAAGCAAGGGGGAGTACAGTACCTCTGCAGGGGCATCTGCAGGCGAAGAACTGATATTATACTAAGTTAATAGGTTGTCGATATTCCTCTTCATTTTGCCCCCAAAAATGATTGAACTTAAAACACACATTCATTAGCAGGTCCGCCACGACATTCAGGTCTTGGACCATCACGTCGCCCGGTCGCGCCTCCCAGATCGCTCAGTAACGCATCTAACGAGCTTTGGCCGCGCGCCGAGACCATCACGTGATGCACCGTCATCGCCTCGCTTGATCGACCCCTTGGGATGGAAACCAGGGACGTCGTTGGGTGGATTGGGTGGGTCTAAAACATTCTAAAACACACCCTCTTCATAGAGCGAAACACACCCTGATCACCGGCCGGTCCTTCTTCTTCTTGAATGTGACGCAACAAACGTCCGAACCCATGAGGTAAACGGAACAGTACGTGAAAACTGCATCATCTGAATTTGAAGCAACACCACCCATTTGGGTGGTTATTAGATGGGTTCAATAGATCGTCTAAAAGGGGGGGTCTATAAACCACCCAAACTGGGTGGTGCTGGAATATGAGTTTAAATAACTACCAATGTCTCTCTCCCACGGCCGCTTTTACCTCGCTCACACGCTCCGCACGAACGCGCGCACGCGGCGCACATGGGAAAGCGCATTGAGCTCTGCGGAGGTGAGCGCCAAGCGCGCCCAGAGCTCATCGGACCTCAGCGAGGGACTGGGATCGTGACCCATTTGGAGCCCGACCAGTCCACCATCCATGGTGGACTGGCGCATGGGGCTAGTCACTTCGAACTTCGACAAGTAGGGGAAAGGTCAAAACCTGGGGCCCTGGTCTACCATGTAGTCAACGCGGATGGTCACGACCCCCAACCATATCATGATATATCCAACCAATGGTTACGGGACATGGTTTTGTGGGCGTAGTCCTCTTTTGTCGTGTTAAGTGTGACTCCTTTCTTCCTTGGGACCACAAAAGTAGACCAAAACATCCAAAGCAAAGCATGGGCCTTGAAGATGCTGGCATCACCCATTAATACTGTAGTCAGAACATCCCTGACAGTTTCAGTATTCCAGCAAGAACCATGCTGAAGCTTGCCAAGTGAAACATGCCCAATTGATTTGTTTTTCTATATTAACCTAAAACACTAACCTGGAACCATCTAGAACCCATTTGACCCCTTTTGGTCAACAAAGGTTGATGATCCGAAATGGAGATCACTCAGTTTCTAAGGAATGTCCATCTTAGTGTCTGTGAGTAAACAAAAAAACATGGCACTTACAATGGCTGGAGAGTTCTTCAGCTTTGGAAGTGTCTGTTCCTACACAAGTCTTCCTCAGTGCCACACCCCTCCCTCTCTCTGTCTGTAGTAACAGTATGTGATTTAAAATATTTGTACAAGTGTTTCGATACCTTCAGTGACACTGAGGTATGGAGATTCAAGTGACACCAATCAAGGCATATAATCCGCCGACCCCACTCGTGGGGTCAGGCGTGACTGTTGATTAATTAAGGCTAAGGCTATGATTAAGGCTAAGGCTATGATAAAGGCTATACCTCCCCTACCCCTCCCTACCTTTGCTGAAGTGACGAAAAGTAGCCAAGAATTGTCCAAAATTTATCCAAATGTATTCGGTTGCTTCTTACTGGGGATTGGGGCACCCTCTTCACCCGCGCGGGAAAATAAGCACGGTCCCTAAATGGTCCCGGGCTCGAATCCCGGCCTGGTCCCTGCCAGTGCCCTTAAAGGTTTTTCTAAGATTTACTCATGCCTTTCTCGAGGGTTTTTCCAGGATTTTCTATGATTTTTCCTCGAATCCCGGCCTGGTTGCGGCCTGGTCCCTGCCAGTGCCGTTGGCTTTCCCTAGATTTTGTACCGTTTTCCGCTGGATTTCTTGGATTTTCAAAGGTTTTTGTAAGATCTACTCATGCCTTTCATGCCTTTTTCGAGGGTTTTTCCATGACGTTCTATGGTTTTTCTAGGAAGTTCTGTGGTTGTCTAGGGGCTCCGTGTTGTTTTTTGGGTTCCCAGATTTTCAAAGAAAAATGCTAACCCATTTGCCGTGCGCTCTTCTGCCTACTTTGGTGATGCAGTGACAGATCATGTCTCTAGGGTTCCGTGTTGTTTTTTGGGTTCCCCGATTTTTCGGAAAAAAACCTAACCCATTTGGCTGCCTGTGGTCTGGCCCCTAGGGGTCGGCGGCTGCAGGCGCTAGCCTGGTTATATATATATATATATAGATGTCCAAATATTCCCAAATAGATAGAAGTTCGTAGATCTCCACTAAACATGTATTGGAAACCCTGCCATCCTCTCTATTTGGGGACAACCACCAGCAGCGTTCGCCCATTTCCTTCAAGTCTCGCCAAGATGCTCATATGCCCGGCATCGAGGTGATCTCCACGCGCCAGACATGTCGCCCAAACGTTTCAAGGTCCAAAGACAGCAGTCACCCAACATGCTTCCAACGTCGACCACCTGCAAGGCTTGGAGAGGGGATGAGAGGGGTCCGTTGGGGAAAAGAACATGTCACGGTGTGTTTTGCAAACAACCTCCTTGGTGGTTCCAACTCAGTGGATGTCAGTGGGTGAGATTCAATCATCCCAAGTAAAGGTTGAACCTCAAAACCCTCGAAGCCCCCGCCTTGGAACGAATGGACCCCCAACATGAACGCCCGGAACGGATGGAATGGTCGCGGAACCTTCGCTGACCATCTGTCCTTCTCTCCCCCAGACGAAAAGAGAAGCTGCAGTCGACTCGGAGCTTCGGAAAGACATGGGGAGAAACCCGAGATGTCGAGACGTGTGGTGAAAAAGCGAAAGAGACATGCGTTTGGGTGAAAGCACCTGTATGGCGGTCTTCTGCGGTAGGAACTCCACCAATGTATCGAAGGCATTCTGGCGTCGTGGAAGCTGGAGGAAGGAGATTCCGCAACAATCGGACTTGACCCAAGATGGTTTCACCTTCCTTGAGATAGGTGGAACATCACAATAAAGGCCTTTCAAAACCATGGATGTGAATGTTTTATCATCCCAATGTCTTGGTCAAGTCTTGGGTAGGGTATCTGCCGCTCCGAACAACAGGGGTGGTTTACTGAGTCCATTCCATGCCATGAGAACCGCGGATGGAGACCACGACCCAGACAGCATGACGAGTACCTAATTACTCATCAAGAGAGCACTGAAGTTACATGATGCTGTCCAAAAACCATAGGAAGAAATCCCTGAACTCTTCCAACTCCGAGTTTGCCTCGAAACAACTTCGCTTCAGCTCCACCGTGATTTTCTGCAAATCCGTGTGTGTTTGGTTTGTCAGCCATACCCAGACGTCCTGGAAGACTAAGCTACAATGCGGCCGCCCAGTGGATCGGATGTTGTCTCCCACAAAGCCTCGGATGCCAAGGCCATGAGTTCGCTTCACGTTCGAAGACGGGTCGGGTTCCCCCGAGTCACGCCCGAGAGGTGTGGTTCGGCCCGAGTTGCTCGGGTTCGGTCAGATGGTCAGCATCATCAACATCTGTCTATAAATAGCAACAATACACTGCCCGGGGATGTGAAAGACCATGCAGGGAGGATAAGTTATTGATTCAGTCAACATTTGTGTTGTGTTGCTGCCCTGTAAGACCTTTGGATTGGATTTGGGGGAACACGTGGGTCCCTAGGTATTGTCGCAATACAAGGAGGACACCCTGCAATTCCACCCCTCGCAAGGAAATATGTTGACTTGGCAAGGTTTGTTGAGTTTGTTGTTTTGACGCAAGCCCAGGGCCCTTGCTGCAAGAATAAACTTGCTTGGGGACACTTTGATCTTAGTACTGAAGTCTATCCCACAGATTGCAAACCAAACAGACCCGCCATGTCACCGGGCAGCCAACACGACGCACCTCTCGACACAAAAAAACACGACGGCGACCTCGCTCCACCACGCTGCCATATGTCCCGGGACGTCGGTATCTGGGGACCACCAACTTGCCTGTGCGAGTCGCCGGAGTCACCCGCGGATTGGCCGAAGATGTCTCACCAACGGCCCCCATGGCGAGGCCAAAACACGGTCCGAGCGGTCCCCATCAGAAAAGTGTCCCTCCATGGTTTGGGTTGTCTTTTTGGTTCAACAGTTGAAACGTGTTGACTTAAGATAGGCTGGAAAATCACCATCAAACGTTAAAAAAAATGGTTTCTGGCAAGTTTCTGGTGGTTCTTCTACACTTCTACATACTACATGGCAAAATTGCAAACAACACTTGAGGTTTGACATCTTTGGAGTTGTGGATTGAATTTAAACATCATAACTGATCCAACATGGCCCAGCGACTCCTGATGGCATCTGCCAGGCTAGGATTGTGGATTAAGCAGGTCTGGTTCGTGAGCGAAACCAAGTTACTAGATTCAATCTTACATAACGTCATGGAAATATTTGTTTGCATGGCCCTATATGATGTGAGAAAGTACTTCATTAGTGCAAACCTGGTGAGAAGTTCGTGCCAATACTCCAGAAGGACACTAAAAACAAAAAACAACCCCCAGAAATCTCTCATCTACTCGTCGTGTAGTGACGTCGTGTTCCAGGCACTCCTTGCGAAAGAACTGAACTCCAGCTGGACAGGACCGAACTGGATCGGATTGTCCCACGCAAAGTTACATATTCTACAACATGAATTAGCACATAGCCACGCCAGCTCTGCGGAGAGTCCAAGGTGCGGATAAAGTTTGATCAACTCACTGCTCATTCAATGCATTCGCAGTTCCCGCAATTCTTGAGGCACAGATAGAAACTAAAATTGCATCAGTGCTTTGCTTGTCACTGTCTAGCTAAATACATTCAAGTCTTGCAGCCTTGCATTGGAATTGGCCTGCTCAACACAAGATCGAGCTCAAAAAATGGAAGCCATGACAGGGGCATTGGGCATTGCATTGGCCGATTTGGACCAAGCATGCAAGTCGTCGTTGTAAAACCGTCGATCCTTGGATGATGGCAACTCGTCCAGTCCGTTTGCTTGCGAAGTTCAATCTTTGTGGTCGCCAACGCTCCGGCAAAAAAGTCGTAAAAATCAGCCCGAGCGGTCACAATCAGCAAAGTGTCCCTCCATGGTTTGGGTTGCGCATTTTCTGTTCAACAGTTGGAAGATGTTGGAAACAATCCTGAAGAATGCCATCAAGATTGGCCGGAAAGTCACCATCAAACGTCAAGAATATCCACTCGACTCGCTCCTGGTGGTTCTTCTACATGGCAAAGCTGCAAGCAAAACTTGAGGGTTGACATCCTTGGAGTTGTGGACTGATTGAGACAACTAAAAATGTATCAGACATGTGTCTCATTTCACACCGGTGACGTGAAGCTTTCGCTGAAACTGGGTGGATGGCATCTGCTAGGCTACCATTGTGGATTGAGCAGGTCTGCTTCGTGGGTGAAGCCAAGCTGCTAGATTCAGTCTCACGTCATGTCATGGAAACCTTTGCTCGCGTGTCATGTGGGTGAATGCTTAATTGGCACAAGCCTGGTGTGAAGCTCGGGCCATTACTCCGCAAATAGTTACAAGCCCCAGGAATCCATTTATCTATATACTCGTGTAGTGACGTCCTGTTCCGGCACCTACCACCTTCTGATTGCTCCACGCAAAGTTACATATTCTACAACATGAAGCTAACACATAGCCGCACCAGCTCTGCGGAGAGTGCATAGTGCGGATAGGGCCTGATCAACTCACTGCCCACTCAATGCATTGGCAGTTCCCGCCTTTCTCGAAGCACAGATAGAAACGACAAAAGCTGCAAACAGTGCTTTGCATGTCATTTGGTAGCTAAAAGCAATGAAGCTTTGTATCGCAACTCAGCCTGCTCAACACAAGATCTATAGCTCAAAAAGTGGACATCATGGCAGGCGTTTTGGGCATTGCCATTGTCGGATTCTGACCAAGCGTGCAATAAAAACCGTCGATCTCAGGTGTGACGTCATGTCCTGAGGATAGATCCAGGGCATCTTCTGAGATGTTACATAATATTTATGTCAGCTGGTGCGAAAACGGTGCCCTTGCCCACTACCCCACGCAAAAGCTCTGGCCTGTGGTCTCAGGTTGCCATCTGAAGCGTTGCTGAAGCTGGGAGGGCTGGATACGGACATGCACCTCAGCATTAACATGCCTTCCCAGCACAAAAAAGACATTGAACATAATTATGAATCGATTCTCAAAGGATCTCAAGCGTGTTTTTTATCCACAAACATGTTGAGCTGCCGTCTCTGACCTGTCCTTTGCAATTTCAAGCTGCAGTTTACGACGCCTCATCTCTGACCAAGTCGCCATCGCTGGAGTCTGGAGCCAATCGACTGCCTCAAAAAGCGGCCAAGGCCATTGGAGCAACCTTAGTGAAAGCTGAGGCTTAGCGGCTTAGCGTGAAAAGACTGAGCTGAGACTTTCGGTTCGCTTGCTTCGCAGAAGTTCACTCATCTTGCCCCCCCGGCAAAAAGAACATATCTCCCTATATCTCTCCCTCATACCGTGCCATGTGGTCCCAAACTCGCACACATGCAGTGTTCCCACTGCACACGCGCGGGCGCGAACGGACGTCGGACCCTGGATGAACCCGAGGGACTCCACCAGGTTGTCCATCGGACCCCGACAGCCGCGCATGTCGCTCTGCACGATGCGCAGGAAGTCCTGCGCGGTGGTTGGGGGGTCCGTGCGTTCGGAAAAAGCGGTGGGTTGAGCGAGCTGCCCATGTCGTGAAGCGTTGGTCCAAAAATGAAAGTCCTAAAAAAGAAAAGGAGTCAGCTGGAGAGCTCCTTTTGCTTCAGCTTGGGACGCAAGTATGGTTTCTCCCCAGCATCTCATGCTTTCCTTCAACAAACCCTGAATGATCTGCATGCATTCTCCTCCATGGGAAGAGGCATTGCCATACTCCTGGCTTGCCAACCCAACGGCGCCCAGCACACGCATCCTATACTTCAACCAGTCACTTATCTCTCTTATCTTCCGAATGTTCAAGCGACTTGAAGACCCAACATGGAACAACATCCGGCCTTCTGAACACTTGAAGAACCTCTTGAAACTGATTTCTTCTTCTCACTCACCTCATCAAAGAAACGTCCTTGGTCCTTTCCTCGGCCAACTGGCCAACTCGTTTAAAGGTTCCTTGTAAATACTTCATCAACTCACACGAATCTTCTTCTCCAGTGCCAGCAGCTTCTTCACCCTTTGGACGCGATGGGCGCTTTGGAGCGCTCTCCTGGCCCCATCTGCCACCAGCAGCGTCCCCAAGACCGTGGGCGGGAAACACTGGCTGCGGCGCTGTTGGGCATAAACCAACCAGCGCTGATAAGAGGACTGGTCGGGGCCCAAGTAGCTCTGCACCTGGCCAGATATATGTCGTGAATCAAGGTGTTTTCACGAGTGGCTGAAAGCATCTCAAATCTGCTTGGTTGTTCTGGACAATTCTGCAATTTGAGCCTCCCAAACACATCTCATTCGCCCATGACCCATGGCCCAATCGATGCCCGCCACACAGTATAGGACGCGCCCACACAATGTGTGCACCCGACTCGCAATGGGAAAGCAGTGACTCGCCTCCTCAGCCGAGCTCTGAGGCCGCAGGAGTTGAGCCAGATCTCTCCTGGTTTCGCGCTGGAAATCCGATCTCCAGCGCTGGGAATCAGGTAGGGCAGAAAGGTAAGGTCAGGTTAAGTGGATTCCTGGGACCCAGCAATTCCTATATAAAATGATGCTACCCTGAGCAGTTTTGATAGCGTTGATGATGAAAATGAAGATGGAGAATTGGAGAAGGAAGAACACGATGATGATGATGATGATGATGATGATGATGACGATGATGGTGATGGTGATTATGATTATGATGATTATGATGATGATCATCATCATCATAATGATGATGATGATGATGGTGCTGCTGATGATGATGATGGTTATGATCTGTTTTAACTTGTTTTAATCAGTGTGCCAGTCTGCTATGTTCCACAGTAGAGTTTGGTTTGATCCACAACCCAAGTACTTTACTATGATGCTCATGTCAGTCAAATGGTGGTGGCATGGGGAACTCGACGGCTTTGGATCAGCGGGCAGGTGTCTACCCCGTATGCCCTAAGGCAAGGCTTCTTTAGCTGCCTCAAGGTTGGTATGAGTAGCGGCGCTATCATCATCCAGGAATAGACTGTGAGTCAAGTAATAAGTTACACCCAACACCAAACTCGACTCGACTAGTCACTAGCCAACTGCAGTAACTTATAGTCAAACAAAGATCTACTGATTTCCACCCAAAAGGTTGACTTACACTCAAAGATGTGGTTCTTCCAGCAAGCCCCTCTACAGACATCTCGCCACGAGTTGTGGTGCGTGATGTTCATCATCACCCTACGAATGCACGCACTCATGACTCCTGAATGAGATTTGACAAAGCCTTACATACCAGACCCTGAGAATTCAATACCGTTCGACCATCCTTTCGACCCACAAAGCCGTTCCTGCAACCCTCCCGCCCTGGTCCATCCGAGAACCAGCACTGCCCACGCGCCCGAAAGCACCCGCCAAGCACACCGCCTGAGCTCGCTGAAGTCGTCGCGGACGTCAAACTTGCTGCCCGTCAGCAGCGTCCCCAAGGAGGCCAAGATCCCAAAGATGGGCCAACCACTCTCGAGCAAATCCTCGTTTTCGTGGTTGGGGAACGAGAAGATCGAGGATCAGCAGAAGTCGAGGCTCAGCTCAGGGCGTGAGTTTTCTTCTTTTTGAGACGCCAGAAGTCGAGTGGATGGAAGGCTCGAGTGGAAGAAGGTCTGCATGAGACCTGAGGTTTAGATGGTTGGACCAGGCGATGTATCCTGAAACCTGGGGCGATTGGATTGTAAATGGTGGAAGACGGAGACCGACTTGGACGGCTTCAAGTAAATGGTTAGGAAAGAACTCGAACCCACTGAGTTGGTCGCAACCCCTCTGATCTCTCCCTGTTGATGCAAGAGTTCTCCAGCACCACCTATAACCCCTGTGTCTAAAACCCCTATCTAAGATCATCTAAGGCTTTCCGGTGCTTTCTAAAGCAACCATCTGTGGTCCCTTCTAAAGCAATCCTCCCAGGCTCCAGGCTCCTAGATTCGGGCTCCAAATCGCAGCTGAGGCTCGTACCAAGTGATCTCATCCTCCAAGAAGAGCATCGAATCCACCTTCCCCCTGCGCGTTTCGGGACTGGAAGGGTCGCCCATGGTCGCCCTACCCAAGGCATTCTTCAAGTCCTGAAAGGGGATTGGATGTATGTAGGACATGACTCCCAGCAAACCAGTCAACTAGGAAGTTGTTTGTATCAATTTGGTCTCGGCTTTGAGAGTGCAGCTCTTGTACATCTGTGCCCGGTCTGTCGGATCTTCAACCCGCTCACCGGCCCGTTTGGCTAGGCGAGGCACACCGTATCCCAAAGGCTATAGAGCACCAAGTTCCGCGTGGCCTCAGGTCGTGATAGCAAACAGTTGGGTGTATATATTGAAGGGCAAGCAACAACAAAACGCGTTTCCTGGGGTCAAACATTTAAAAACACTGTCTTCATGAAGTGAATGTTCAGTTCCCACATCCTTGACAGTCACTACACTGTTTTGTGTTTTATAGTGTTTAGCTCGTCTCCATCAGTATAGGACAAAGCGCAAATCCCTCACCGCTGATCTGGGGCGGTGTTACCTGTTGAAACGCTTACACTACATAGTGGAACCTGCAGGTTAGTGCTTGGCAACATGGCGCGGCTCACTTCTATCTCCAGAACACCACTTGTTGTTTGGTGGTCTTTCTCTCTTTTCAGAACCTCAAAGCGCTCGGCTCGTACCAGACTTGACCATCTAGCCAGACCGCCAAACCCCCAAAATGAAACACCATGGTGCCTTGCGGCGTTCGTAGCGATGCACCTTGTGACGTTCGTAGCTTCTTGCAACGGCTAGAAGCAAGAAACGGCCAATAATTAGAGTCCTTGGGCATGTCACTTCTCCTTCCTGTTCTTCTACCTTGTTACTAATAGTAAGGTGCCAAAGCACGGCCTTCCAACGGCATTGACCCACAACGGGCCTTGGGCATGTCGGGCGTCTTCAAGGCTTCGAGGATCTCCTAGCCACGCAGGCCACGTGTGGACCGTGCCAGCTCAGTGTTCGGTGCCAAAAGCAATGAAGCGACTCCCACAAGGTGAGATCTGTTGTCTGTTTTTCTTCGCGTTTCTTCATACTGTTTAACTGCCTATAAGAAGTGCATGGAGCCGGGGTTTTCTGCCTGTTTGTCTTTTTTGTTTAACTCTTATTATTGCTTCATACTGCCTATAAGAAGTGTATTTGTGTCTTGGCCGAAAACCCCTGCTCCAATGGATCTTCAGAGGCCAGTCTTGTTATATCATCGATTGTCCTTTCACCAAGGAGCCTTTGGGGCTTCCCTCTTGCACACCCACCCAGAAAGAAGCGACTGGCATTTCCAACTTGCCTGTTATACACCTCCCTTCGCCTCCTCGAAGTCTACTTGAAGCGCAGGGTCCATCATGGTTGTGCTGGGAGGCTTGGTAAAGCTGCCCTCCCTCCGAGTTCCTATCATTAATCAGGATGGTTTCACTGCTTAGCTGGCTTGTCTGCTGAATGCTAAGGTCCCAGGTGCAACCGGGGTTCTTCTTGAACTTCAGATCCAACGATTCGGTGTGCTACGATGGATTTTTTAATTCTGATCATCCAGTGACTCTACAAACAGACTTGACTGTCAGTCTGCTGACTGTCAGCCCAGTGATGCTTCGTTACAAAGTGATATCCAATCAAACTGCCACGGGGCGCATCGGGGCCCTCTCCTTTGAAGAGGTCAACAACACGGCTGTTCTCAGAGCCACCTGGCAGTTCTCAGTGGTTTTTGGTGGGTCACAAAGGATTCAATCCATAGACACCTCCGGAAAAAAAGTACATCCAAACTTCTGGTTTAGTGTATGTTGGCCAAAAAGGTGAGACCTTCACATGGGATGAACCTGCTAGGGATGAACTCCTTCAAATAGTCCATCAATCCAAATAAACCCACCATATTACACCATGATATAATCCACCTAGGGCTGATTGCCTTCTGCCCCCCCGGACCAACATGGATTACTCAACTCGCGATGGGAAGAGGTCTTTGGAGGCTTTTCGTCTACCCAACACATTCCTTGTATGACCTGGCAGGTGGCGACCTCAAACCATCAATCAATGGATATCGGATATCTGATCACATGTATTATATATATATAGAGTTTTCCATGTATATCCTGGAGTACATCTCACGACCCGATCTCACGCCTCTCCAATGGGGCATTGTGCACATTGCAGGCTGTGGCAGGCTGTTGACCCTTCACCCGAGAAATAGGACGTCCTGGGCTGCGGGCAAACATCATCACAGCATAGATCATGGAAACCTATTTCCAAACATACCTGGATGCTCCAACTAGAATTTCTGACTTTTGACTGCATTGTTATATAATTAGTTAGAATCAATTAGATGAACAGGCAGAACATTCTGCGCAGTTGGAAGATCCAGGTATGTCCAAATGATCTCTTGCAACTGGCATACCTCTCTTATCGTCTGTTTATAGTGGGTTGAAGCCTTTTCTGTCCAACAAGAACATACAATCAATCGCAATACATGTCCAGAACTCACTGACAAGACCTCAACCAATCTCAGACCTTTCATTCACATCAGCTCAACACTCCAACAATCACCCAAAACTGATTTATTCCTTAACCCTGACACCACCAGCACACAGAGACCACCTGGTGAGAAGCTTTTTTGCACCTACGCCCCCTACGCTGGGTGAAGGATCAAAAAAAAATAAATAAGGATCAAAAAAAATAAAGCAATGAGATCAAAAGAAAAATTAATAAGGATCAACAAAAAATCAAAATCTGGTGACGTAATAACAAAAACAATTGACAGACGAGGATCAAAAACAAAACAAACAAGAATCAACAAAGAAAGAACAGTAATGTGTGCAGTGGCAACAGTAGTAGTGACCCTCGTCGTCGTTGTCGTCGTCGTCGTAGTAGTAGTGGTAGTAGTAGCAGTAGTAGTAGTAGTAGTAAGTAGTAGGTACTAGGTAGTAGGTAGTAGGTAGTAGGTAACAGGTAGGAGGTAGTAGGTAGTAGCAGTAGTAGTAGCAGCAGCGGCAGCAGCAGTAGTAGTAGTAGTAGTAGTCGTGGTAGTCGTAGCCGTGTTGTGGGAGCAGTAGTAGCATCGGGTTCCTCACAGAAGATACTATGCTACACTGGACTTGCTGCTTCCTCCGCTGAATTTGTCGCTCGTTCTCGGGAAGCTCACAAAAGGTATATTTACATGGGAATGGCTCAGTGACCTGAGCAGGAATTCTGATCTTTTTCCACGCACGGTCATCATAAGTCTCTATGATAACAAAGGATGTAGGAAGCTTTCGGGGCGCAAAATACGTCTTCAAGCCTCTTCGACCCGATATAATGTCCGGTGTAACCCTGGGAAAACCAGAAGCCCTGGAAGACCTGACGCCTTGAAGATGCGCAATCTGCTCCTGCGTGCGTGGCAGACACATGATCTTTGATGCAAGTGGGAGTGTGCGCCGGCGCAGCCATTATGGTGAAGGCTTCCTACTCTTCCAACGTGCGCGCGTACAAGCGAGTTGCTTTCTGCGCGCACACGCGAGCGGCATGCCGGTCTGAAATCGGGCCCTGTTACGCCATGCCGGTCTTAACTCTTAACTGCAGGAGGAATGAGAGCGGGCAAGACAGTGTCAAAAATGAAAGAAACGAACCACAATGAATTAACCGATGTTTCTGTCATCACGTGCCCAAGTGGCACAGGGCAATCTCCTTTTCCGGTCGTGAAGGCTAGACGCTTCAGTCAGCGCAGTAGTCACCTTGGGAAGCATGTCTTGGAGAAAAAACAATTAAGATACTATACTTCTTGAGTACAAGGCTGAGAGGTTTTGGAAGCAAGCCAGCAGCAGCAAGGCGATGGTAAGAGGCCTGAGACGTCCAACGATGCAGTGTAAGAAAATGAAGGAACCAGTTGGTGCTGAAACTGATTGCCAACAACTGGCTCTATTCGTCGCAGACGCTGGCTTGGGTGCCTTGGTAAAGACCGATCGCGCCACGAAGAAAAAGGTGTGACAAGTAGACGGTCACAAGACCAGTATTTTTGTCTAAGCACCTGGCTCGTTGGGCAGATCCGCGGGCACTGACCTCAGTCGAAGCGATGTAAAGCGGCATCGAAAACAGCACCAAGCCATATCAGAGCAGACCAGTAATGATTAAGGTTGCAACGTTGGAATGAGGTAACTCTGCAGCATGCCCAGGTACCTACGCACGAACGAAGGCAAGTGACAGATCTCTATCAAGCAGTACGCAAACGAACTAGGAGCGAGACATCCGCAGAGTCCTCCCCAGCAAGCACCTATGGGTGAATGCTCAAGACAAAAAGACACACATAACATGCGAAAGTGCAACATCTAGCAAGCTCTTAGTCGAACACATCTGATGAGCCAACTCCAGCCGCCACCTCTGGGACATGAAGCTGGCAGACCGTGGTCAATGAAGGCTGACGCAAGGACACGCAACGGCGGACGGAAAGAACAAACATGCGCAAAAGGCAGCGACATACAAGATCAGCCCTTAGGGCCAGACTTCTGTGGGGACATCTGCAGGTGGCACCTGTCGCGGGCACTTCTGGCAGATTTGTGGAAATTGCGAAGTGATGTTCAAGCAAGGTTTTAAACCAAACAAAACATAGAACACCGAAGGTTGACGCATCATCAAACTTATATCCTGGCTTTTGAGGCGCAGGCCTGATGCTGCACCCACTTCGTGGCAGCGCTTTGCATTTGGAGGAGGACACCAGAAGGAAGACTTGGCAAGGCAAGGCGGAGGTCTGCAAAGCTCAGGACGGACAACTGATGAACTGTTATTTGCTGCTGTTGCAGCGGAGGATTCCACAAAGTCCACTGGTGACAGCGTAGAAACGCAGCAAGTGCAGCGTCCTCACGCGGAATGGCCAAAGGCTGAGGTCGAGGATGGCTTTGGTCCGAGAGCCCACCCAAAGCCGAGGGCAACAAGACTTGAACAGGCTGTTGTTCAAACAAAGGTACCGGCTGGCTTCGCTGGGGAAACACTGGCCGCTGTAGCGACAATTGGCCTAAAACGAGGAACGCAGCATGCATGTGCTCACAGGTTGCGTGGAGACAAAACTCGGCGCAAAACGCACAAAAGCCCTGCGTATGCGGGCTGAGCTCCTGCGCCATTGACTCTCGACGCCAGAATTGGGCAGCAAAGTGGCCCACTGCAACAACAACATAGGAATCCAACAGCTTCAAAAGCTTTTCCAAATCCAAAAGAGGCTGCGCCAGGCCGAGGTTCAATAGAGCGCGGGTCAAGGAGGTTTCAGAATTGGCCCGGAGAAGGTTCGCAAAAGCTTGCGCAAAACCAGAGGACGGACACTGCACGGCATTGTCAGGCGTTCTGACCCAAGTTTTGGAAGCGTGGTCATATGTGGCCAGGGTGCGGCGCATGCACAAGAATGTTGTCCCATCATCATCGTCAAAACGGTCCCACGCCTGCACCCTAAAAAACTGTTCCGCCGATGACCGGCCTTGCCGGGTCAGTGCGTCCGAATCCCACAAGACCATCTTATCAGGAAACGGTTCGGCTGGCATGTCGGGTAGGCACGAGCCCGCTGCGCGCAAGTCCATCAGACGTGACTTAGTGAAGCTGGCTAAGGACGATGCGAAGGATTGCAAGCTACTGCGGAGGCCGAGGTACTTTTTAAGCTTCCAGCGGTGCCATGACTCCTGCGCTTGTGTGCCGGAAGCGGATCCAGGCTGGATTCGCTGCAGGCCACACCACCACTCAGCGGTGTAGAACGTAGTTGGTTCTCCGGGCCAGTCAAAGGCTCCAAAAGCAGTCTGGGCTTGCTGGCGCGAATGCTTGACAAAGTAATGCCTCTGCAATGCTTTCGCTGCTTTCTCTTCAGGGGGCTGCTGCGAAACAAGGGTTTGAAGAAGCAAAGCAGTGATGGAATGAAAAAGCAGAGCTGTAGGGACACAGCGAAGACAAAAGAACGCTCGCTCCACCAAGGGCAACAACTTCAGACCACTCTGCGTCAAATGGCTTTTCACTGTGGCAAAGGCACCTGTGCGGAAGGTTTTGATCCTCTCATCTGCAGGCATCAAAGCTTTTGTGGTCTTGAGGCGGTTGCAAGCACCAATGACATGTGCCCAGTCGGTCACCCGGCTAGCGCAGCGAAACACCGACTTTTGAGCCAGGTCCTCACCAGGGTGCATGTCTGCATGGTATTGGTGACAGGCCGAACGTAAGTCCACATCTGCAAAACGGTCAGCGCACGCACACAAAGCTTCAAATAAAACCTGGTAAGTCGTCTGACTTTCTTTGTTGGCAAGACCGAAAACAAGAGGATGAAAGACCGTGCGAAAAGCATAGACGCCCTCGGATGCAGCATAATGCTTGGACAAGACACCTACAGTCATCAAGACCCAATCATCTTCTGTCAGTCTAAATGTGCCATCTCCGCGCAATTTTATGTAGGTCTTGTTTGTCAAACTGCGCAACGTGTCTTGCAGTAACATTGGGTTGCAAAAAACTACTGCTGTGTCATCGGGTTCCAATAGGAGATCTGCAACCTTTAGCTCATTTACAGCATCATCTACACCCTGCACAGAACCCAGTTCACGCTCCAATTGTCTCCAGTCTGCAGCCACCCACTTGAAGGAACTGGCACGGGAAGCAGCACTGCCCTTGTGCACGCGGTGGTTCTTTCCCCACGTGCGGAGCCAGGCGTCTGACGGGCGGTCCGGCTGGTGTTGCTCGACGACCCGCACAAGGTCTTGGGTTGTGAAACGAGTATGGTTTTGCACATACTGCTTCAAAGCATGCTCGGCAGTAGCAGTCAGAGGATTCCATGCCCGTGTGGCACTAAAATCGCCGTGGGCAGTGATTGGAGTGGACTTCCTCTCAATTTCATTCTCCGGCTAGTTGTATGTGCAAATTGCTTTCCAGCCCTTCCGATCCTGACATGCATCGCAGGAATTGCACCAGAGGTAAGCCTTGAAGCCGTGTGCATGTGGAGCGCATTGGGACCGGATTCTCAAATTGTGCCCGGGTATGAGAGAACTTGCCCAAGCTTGCTCTTGCTTCAAAAAATCGACTTTGGACAAGGCGCGCTCGCACGGCAGTGTGTACCGCATGGTGTAGAGAGCAGCAACCTCCTCAGCAGAAGGACGACCCCGACGTGCGTCGTTTTCTTCAGCGTTGTCTGCTGGCTCCTCCCCGTGTCTTCCACGTTTTCCTGCGCCATGCATTGGTGGAAGTGGTGAGCGCTCAGGACGTGCATCCTGA